TATGGTGTCAAGTTGTGTGGTAAATTTGGAGACAGGTGCTTCAGCCCATGGCTGGGTAATCACCTGGAGAGGGTTATTGTCGGCATCCTGCTGGGGAAGTAATTGGGGCTTCTCAACACACAGATTCATCAGGCATTCTTAAAATTTATGATGTGCACTCAAACCCAGTTTGACAGCTCAATCAGCATTGGCAGTGTAACAGGGACTCTTGTTTACCACTTTGAACGGAATTGAAAGAGTTTCCTGATTACTTCCTCCTAGAAGATTAATGGTATTGTATTGCACAGTTGGGAAATAAAGGAATGGAGTATTTTTAATTCTTGTAGCTTATGTGTTCATGTTCTACCTCATTCTTGATGATCTTAATGACCTGTGAGCAGACCTCAAAGTTGCGACTAAAACAGTCGCCAATGCGACCTTAATTTCAATTTGCCTACTGTCCAAAATTCAGAGGTAGCCAAATGGCTACATTGAAAAATATCTTGTGGCGACTAAATTCTATTGCTACACATCTGTAGACACAAAAATAAATAACAGCTGATCTTGGAAAAACACATCTGCTAATAATTGCTGTATAATTCCTCCTAAAGTCGACAATGAACCGAAATACATAAATATTAATGTTATTAGTACTTTATTTTAGTTGACAGTGCTCAGTGTATAAGCAAGGATATACCTGTATAATCTAGTAACATAAATTGCATCATTGTTCGAGTCACAAGTAATAAAAATCAAGTACCTACAGTTTCCACTAATATACAATTCCTATAACTTGTACATATTATAATAGTTATTTGATAAAAGATAATTTCAAATGCTTTTGGCAACCTACAATATTGGCTTGACTTCTTGAATTTACTACTGGCTACCTGGAAAAAAATACTTCTAGCCATATGGCTACTTGGTAAAAATTTAAACTTTGAGGCCTGGTGAGTGGGCACAGACCTTATCATTATGTTCGGGGGAGGTGAAAGTGGGTGTGGCTGCTTGTATTAGTTTATATAGTGCTAGCCCACTGAGATACCAGGCTGCAGTTTTAGTATAATAAACACCCCACTCAAACACGGTGTACTGACCTCGAGCCGACCAGTGCTAGTTTTATTCCCTTTATATTATTAATGCTGAACAAAAGGCAGGGCAACAACAAGTACCATCTTTTAACATGTGTCGGGAAACAAACTACCAACCCTCTTCTCTCTGGGCAGATATTCCGTCCACTAGACCACAGAGGCAGTCCATATTGTTAAGGACACATTTATTTTGAAAAGTGAAATCATATGACTACCAACAAGAATATAGATCTTCTGAAGTCTTTGTTCGTTTTTTTAACGCTGCATTCAGCAATATTCCGGCTATATGACGGCAGTCTGTCAATAATTGAGTCTGGTCCAGACAATCCAGTGATTGACGTCATGGGTATCGATCTACGCAATTGGGATATGAACTTGAAGAGAAAGGCCTTCGACTTCAATGCAATACAAACTTTTCAGTTTTACATCAGATGTAATAAGCATGTAAACTTGAGCTTTTTTGCAATATTTGAAAATATATATTCGTGCTATGATTTTTAAATATATACCTTGAATATATTATTTAAATTTAGAGTCGAAGATCACATTCAGTATGTTCAAATTTGTACACTGTTGACCATTAAAGACTGTTAAATGATAATAATATTGATATACACTGTCAACAAGTAACATGCAATAGCAATACAATAATATTTGTGTATATATCATGGATAAATTGATGTTCTTTGTGTACAAAACATATATTTAAGTGTTCATTATCAATATAAAAGCATATTCTCTAAGGTCCAAGTGTTATTTTGCACAGTTAAATATTACACCACTAACATAATCAAGAAAATATGGCCAGTGGACCCCCAAACAAAATGTATTTTGAAGTGGTGGGTGATAATTATTATTTTGCCGGAAGTGAAACAAACAAATGCAATATATTTTGTTAAGACAAATATTACGGACAATCAATTTTGCAGTTAACATCCCATTGAAGTAACAACATTGAGATTCCAATGCTGTTACAGTGTTATTTCCCAACTGAGATGTTTCATGACCGTTATTCCTTGAGTGATATTCCCCAGTCAGGCGTTATGAGGGTGGCACATTTACAGCCTATTTATTAGGGCAGCTGGTGCATTCCACAGACTCACCTTGTGATGGCAGCAGACATTGTTTTAATCTTTGGTGTTATTGAGTCAGCTGATGCTCTCAGCAGCATCCACAGTAACCATTACCAGGCCTGTGAAAGTGAGCAATGTTAAGTAATCAAGCCATGTGGGTCATGGCGTGATGTTGTTTAACACAAATATCTACCAGGATGTGTGTTGTGTTAGAAATACTTTGTTACACTCTTCAAACAGTGTAAAATTTACAATATTTGGTGAATTCTTTGTTGTTTTAGTAGCAGTAAAGGTCTGATGTTCATGCTGGTGAAATGAGCTCATATTATAAAATGAGGATTGTCATTTTCCAAGTGTCCCCCTATTGATCTCTAAGCAGTTACAAAACATATCTCAGTTATTTGTTCTTGTTTCTCATATTTTTGTTCAAAAGGACTTTGTAGAGAAGATCTTGATTTTGTTATTTAATTTCTTTAGTAGTTTACAGATATACTTAAGTAATTGTATTTCTAATGAAGCACTTGACCTGTTTGGTTCTGCCCACAGAGGTGCAAAAAGTCCAGTGAGAGGACAGGTTTTGAATTTTGAGAAAACGAGTTGAGAAGTAGGTTGTTGACAGTGCTTAAAAATAAAAAGAAGAATACTATGGATGAGAACAATGTTGAGAGCAAACAAGAAATGTATTATATTACTATATGAACTACTGTTTGAATAGAAGAGTATCCCTGGTACTTGAATTGTTGGAATGACTGAGCATAAACTACACTTAGGCCTTATAAGGTTAATGTCGTGGTACGGGTAACTTAGTTTCATAATAGGGTATCTGTGATAATGCTCTAGGTGTGCTGATGTATATGTGACAATGCTATGGGTGTGCTGATGTATCTGTGACAATGCTCTGTGTGCTGGTGTATCTGTGACAATGCTCTGTGTGTGCTGATGTATCTGTGACAATGCTCTGTGTGTGCTGGTGTATCTGTGAAAATGCTCTGTGTGTGCTGATGTATCTGTGACACTGCTCTGTGTGTGCTGGTGTATCTGTGAAAATGTTCTGTGTGTGCTGATGTATCTGTGACAAAGCACTGTGTGTGCTGGTGTATCTGTGAAAATGCTCTGGGTGTGCTGGTGTATATGTGACAATGCTCTGTGTGTGCTGGTGTATCTGTGACAATGCTCTGTGTGTGCTGATGTATCTGTGACAATGCTCTGGGTGTGCTGGTGTATCTGTGACAGTGCTCTGGGTGTGCTGATGTATCTGTGACAATGCTCTGTGTGTGCTGATGCATCTGTGACAGTGCTCTGTGTGCTGGTGTATCTGTGACAGTGCTCTGTGTGTGCTGATGTATCTGTGACAGTGCTCTGTGTGTGCTGATGTATCTGTGACAATGCTCTGTGTGTGCTCGTGTATCTGTGAAAATGCTCTGGGTGTGCTGATGTATCTGTGAAAATGCTCTGGGTGTGCTGATGTATCTGTGACAGTGCTCTGTGTGCTGATGTATCTGTGACAGTCCTCTGAATGTGCTGGTGTATCTGTGACAATGCTCTAGGTGTGCTGGTGTATCTGTGAAAATGCTCTGGGTGTGCTGGTGTATATGTGACAATGCTCTGTGTGTGCTGGTGTATCTGTGACAGTGCTCTGTGTGTGCTGATGTATCTGTGACAATGCTCTGGGTGTGCTGGTGTATCTGTGACAGTGCTCTGTGTGTGCTGATGTATCTGTGACAATGATCTGGGTGTGCTGATGCATCTGTGACAGTGCTTTGTGTGTGCTGATGTATCTGTGACAGTGCTCTGTGTGTGCTGATGTATCTGTGACAATGCTCTGGGTGTGCTCGTGTATCTGTGACAGTGCTCTGGGTGTGCTGATGTATCTGTGAAAATGCTCTGGGTGTGCTGATGTATCTGTGACACTGCTCTGTGTACTGATGTATCTGTGACAGTCCTCTGAATGTGCTGGTGTATCTGTGACAATGCTCTAGGTGTGCTGGTGTATCTGTGACAATGCTATGGGTGTGCTGGTGTATATGTGACAATGCTCTGTGTGTGCTGGTGTATCTGTGACAATGCTTTGTGTGTGCTGATGTATCTGTGACAATGCTCTGGGTGTGCTGGTGTATCTGTGACAATGCTCTGGGTGTGCTGATGTATCTGTGACAATGCTCTGGGTGTGCTGATGCATCTGTGACAGTGCTCTGTGTGCTGGTGTATCTGTGACAGTGCTCTGTGTGTGCTGATGTATCTGTGACAGTGCTCTGTGTGTGCTGATGTATCTGTGACAATGCTCTGGGTGTGCTCGTGTATCTGTGACAGTGCTCTGGGTGTGCTGGTGTATCTGTGACAATGCTCTGGGTGTGCTCGTGTATCTGTGACAATGCTCTGGGTGTGCTGATGTATCTGTGACAGTGCTCTGTGTGTGCTGATGTATCTGTGACAGTGCTCTGTGTGCTGGTGTATCTGTGACAATACTCTGTGTGTGCTGATGTATCTGTGACAGTGCTCTGGGTGTGCTGGTGTATCTGTGACAGTGCTCTGGGTGTGCTGATGTATCTGTGACAATGCTCTGGGTGTGCTGATGCATCTGTGACAGTGCTCTGTGTGCTGGTGTATCTGTGACAGTGCTCTGGGTGTGCTGATGTATCTGTGACAATACTCTGGGTGTGCTGGTGTATCTGTGACAATGCTCTGTGTGTGCTGGTGTATCTGTGACAATGCTCTGGGTGTGCTGATGTATCTGTGACAAAGCTCTGGGTGTGCTGGTGTATCTGTGACAGTGCTCTGGATCACAGACAATGCTCTGGGTGTGTATCTGACATTGCTCTCTTTACAGTGTTTTATATATGTGTTTATTTCATTGTAGGTGTGACCACCTATACCTCCATGAAGTTGACAACCCGTACAATGCCATCACAGAGAATATGTACTACGACTCGGACGAGGGAAACACCTATGTTTCCATATCAGCACATCTCAAACTTTCACATTGTATGGCAAATGGAACATCAGATACAGCTCAAAAATTCCAAGTTTCATTTTCTATATTAGGTAAGTACAGGATTGTATATATCTTGCAATATGTCCCACAGTGGAGACATAGCCTATGCATGGGTTGGGGAAAAATTGATTATACTTGCTTCACTCAAGCTCAAAATGTTACATTACGAGAATCGTTTATTTCAGAATTTATAAGACTTAACTGTGCTTTTGAACAGGACTGGCGTCTTCATTGTCAAACAATTCTAAAATACTAATTTATTCCTCTTTTAAACCACTCTCAATGATGAATTATATCTGAAGCAAATTACCATTGCAAAATTTAGAATAGCTTTGTCCCAGTTCCGTTTCATTGCCCATAGAAACGCAACGGTACTAAAATATTCCAAGACATGAAAGTATTTGCTTGTACTGTAATGCAAATATTATGGAGGATGAGTACCATTTTATATTGATTTGTTTAATAAATACAGTATGTTACAAGAAAGATATGTACGAAACAAAGTTGTTATCCATTGTGAAGGTAATTAAAAACCTTGCTATGTACATTTATCATGCCAATAATCTTAAGATATATCAAAATGTTCTTTATTTCTTAAACTTGTTTAGTACACCAAGTTCTTTACCTTGCATAGTTGGACCAATTGTATGCTGTGAATTTGGGTCAATGGCCTACATTCTTATGAACAACAGGGTGATCGGGTAGCCTAGTGGTTAAAGCGTTTGCTCGTCACGCCGAATACTCGGGTTCTATTCCAGGCATGGGTACAATGTGTGAAGCCCATTTCTGGTGTCCCCCACCGTGATATTGCTGGAATATTGCTAAAAGCAGCGCAAAACCACACTCACTCACTCACTCACTCACTCACTCACTCACTCCGCCACTTACTCACTCACTCACTCACTCACTCACTCACTCTCATGAACAACAAAACCACTCAATCAATTTGATACACATGAACATAGACTAGGAGTGTGAGGTGCTGTTTATTTTACAATTCAGTATTTCGTAAGGCGCAGGTGGTTGAAATAAAAAAGTACAAATTCTTAAAATATTTGGGTGGGGGGGGGGGGGGGGGAGAAATAAAATTACAAGTTAAGTGTATACTGCTACCTATACACACCTACTTTCAAGTATTATTATACCCCTGACCTAAAAGGATAGGGTATATAGTTATACCAGGGAATTCCTTCCATCCATCCTTCCAAGGACAACATTTTATTGTGCCACCTATAACTTGAAAACTACTACATAGATTCTTTTCAAACTTGAACACTTTTTATACCTATAGGAGAGGTGCAGTGCGAAGTTTGATTTCAATATTCGGATTTTCTGACAAAATACGGCTTTTTTCATTTGTTTACTTAAACATTTAATCGACCTATAACATGAAAACTGCTTCATGGATTCTTTTCAAATTTAGGGAACAGTTTCCATACAAATAGAAAAGGTGCAGTGCAAAGGTTAATTTTGATATGTGTATTTTCTGGAAAAAAATATATGATATTTTTCATGTTTTGAATTTCGATATTTTTTTACTTCAAAATTTGTGCAAGCTATAACTTAAAATCTACTTCATGGATTCTTTTCAAACTGGGAGTACAGTTTCTATACCAATAGGAATGGTGCAGTGCAAGGTTTGATTTTCAGAGAAAATATTTCTTTTTTCATGTTTAGAACATGGAAATATGTAGGAGTTAGTGAGCCCTGCTCACTTTTTGTCTTGTTTAATTACTAATTCACTAAGGGGGAACCAAACAAATAGCTATTGAAATCATAAACTTTTGGTTTAGCAGATCAAAGAAAATACCAAATAATTTTGTGGTTGTGATTTGACACGTTGTGGCTCGCTGACTTGGTTGATGCAGGTCATCGATCCCAATTGAGTGGATCGATGCTCATGATATCAATCACTGGATTGTCTGGTCCAGACTCGATCATTTTACAGACCGCCGTCATATAGCTGGAATATTGCTGAGTGCGGAGTAAAACAACAAACCAAACCAAACCTATTAGAGCGGGGCGCGTATTACATCGAATACGGTATCACCCTGGGACCCCCATTTTAATGTGTGGGACTCCCAAATTTTATTACTGAGTATCCCCAGGACTCTATAGTCTATGCCAAGGCAGATCCCTGTAGTAATAATAATAAGTCCATTTATAATGACCATTCACCATGTGATTGCTCATGGCAATCCATTATTATTACCCCGGTCAATGCGTTTTCATTCTCAGCTCCCTGGGGAGTATACAACCCAAGTTGCCTGTGAGGCACTAGAAGGTTAACAATCACATTGCCATCTCATCCTACCAGGTACCCACTCACTACTGGCTGAACAGAGGCATATTTACAACACCACAATATCACTGCTGGTAGACACTAAACAACAACTGTAGTTATGTGTAGTTTTATATTCAAACAAAACATAGTATCACATTTTTAAAGTATTTTTTAATGTAAAAATTCAAGTGGCTATCATTTTTGTTCACAAATAGACTTTCATCAAGGACCTGACCTCATTTGTGAAGTATTTGGCAGGATTTCTAAAACTTATTTCAGAACTGTTGATGGTATTTTTACAACTTGAAATGGAAGTTTGAGCAGATAAGACGGAGATGTTATTGCCTTTTGCTCTTCATGTGGCTGTTTATCTATTGCCTCTGGAAGATAACCGCTATATGAAATATCTTGGGAACAGTGTTATGGTGGAATACAAATGCTTTAAGAACTTTTCAGCCATAAATCACACCTTCTTCAACCATGTTTTGGCATCCAAAGGTTTAGCTGAATCCCTAGTCTGTCTTACAGACCCTGATACAGCCCATGCAAGTCTATAATGTTTGGCAAGTCTAGATCACTGCAGTATCAATGAAGAGAGTCACTGGGCTCCTTTTTATTATATTTTTATGAAGATAACTGAACAACTGTTTTTTTTATGTACGATATGTTCATTTCAGAGACTAGATGTTAGTCTACTGAATCCCAAAAACAAATTTCTACTTCACATTAAGGAGATACAGCTGAAACGTCGTTTGTAGTTTTTAGCTACTGGTATCATATCGCTTTGTCTCTTTGTCCATCCATCAGTCGACCCGTGAAGATCCGGGTTAGAATAGGTCTTCAGCAGCCCATGCTTGCCATAAAAAAGCGACTAGGCTTGTCATAAGAGGCAACTAACAGGATCGGGTGGTCAGACTCGCTGCATGGTCATGATGTCAATCACTGGTTTGTCTGGTCCGGACTCGATTATTTACAGACTGTTGTCATATAGCTAGAATATTGTGACAACTAACAAACAAACAAAACATCCATCAGTCATTCTTAATTTTTTTGCATCTCCATATGTCCCAGCAATTAAACATGGTCACCATTGCAGACAATTTGAAAATGTAATTATTAGCCATTATGAAATTTGATATGCTGTATAATGGTATTAGTAGCATAAAATAAATTCCCCATCTTATTCCGTTTGTTTCCCCCTGCTATGGTCCATTATTATGAAATATTCATACTGTTATTTTGTGATTTAACATCTTTTAGTTGTTCCCATATTGTTGTTTATCCTTTTATTATGACCTTTGAACCCTACATTGCAAATACCCAGAAATATTTAACGATTTTCCGAAAAAGTATGGTTTTTGTCTGTTATGTTCATGCCATTACTCCATTAATGGAGTTCCTGGAAATTGTTGTTTCAGTTTTTCTATAGACAGTAATTTTCCCTCTTTCACCCTGCAGACAAGAATGAGCTACGGCAAGGGATTGTAGCAGAGTACGGCACCACCATAGGCCGAGTGATGTCGCCAAATTTTCCAAAAGGATATGCCTTGAATGGGGAGACGTTTACCTACATGATACAGAACCTGGACCCCTATGGCCATGTCCGACTCACGTTTGATGACTGGGATATCGCACCAGAGAGTGTGGTCAAGGTGAGGACTGCAGGTGCTTGTTTCAGTACAGCTCCAGAGAGATCAGAGTCTTGTAATGGTTGGTGGTTGTTTGGATGAAGTCCCAGAAAGGGTGGTCTAGTAAGGTCTTGGATGGGACAGGTGCTTGTTTTGATAAAGCTCCAGAAAATGTTTGTCTAGTGAGGTCAAGTGAGGCTTTGGGAGTGACAGGTGCTTGTTGTGATAAAAACCCAGAAAGTGTGGTCTTGGTGATGTCCCCACAGGGGTGCCAAAATACATCCCTGGTACCATGCTAGTTACTGGAACTGACTTCAATGAGGTGGAGGTTACAGGGTGTGACCTGCCAGATAGTTTGTCATTGCACCCTGATGACCTGGTTTGTTATACCCCCGACCTATAAAGGTTGTGGGTATATAGTTATACCAAGGTTCCCTTCGTCCGTCCGTCTGTCCGTCCGAAAACTTTGTCCGTGGGATTTCTCTTAAACTATTCAGTGGATTCATCTCAAACTTAGTACATATAATCTGTGTTATATGGAGGGGTGACGTCAAAAGAAAAAAAATGTTTTTATTAATTTTCCATTTTTTTAAATTTTTCAAACCCTAACCCTATCCTAGCTATTTAATTTGAAAGTACTGACACACTGAATGAATGGGGGCAGTGAGGTTGCCTGGTGGTAACGGTGTTGGCTCACCATGCCAGAGACCTGGGTTTGAATTCCCACATGGGTACAAGGTGTGAAGCCAATTCACGAACTGTGATGTAGCTGGATTATTGCTAGAAGCAGTGTAAAACTACCCTCACTCACTCTCTGTTACATGAATGTAGTAGCAGGAACAGCATTTAGCCAGAATGAGTATTTAAGTGAATAGTTTTGTAGTGTGAACATGTCTTATCTGCAGATATCTCAATGTCAGTAACACATGTTGATAAGGGCCCAAAGTTTAAAAACTTCTGTAAACTAAAGTATTTACGTCAAATATCTTTTAGATTCCATGTTTTTCGACATCAAGTGATTTACAATTCAGCTTCTTGATAACACCCCCATTAATGAGGCGATGATCATGCCAATCTTATTAAACAATGACCTCGCCCTCCATCAGGGAGTCATGCTTGTTGAATCTACAGCTAATGTGTTCCTTATAGTGTTGAATAAACAAACAACTTCACACGAAATTTCACTCTATAAACATAATTATGGCTTTGATTTGTTGCCTTTTGATGTGACCGATAAGAAGTGTTATGTTTTTTATCACTTGTATCTGATAAGCCCAATTTGAGGGCAAGGGTTTGCGATTTATCAGAGGTTTGTTTGGAAACGGCAAGTTTGAACATGCCACCTGCATCTAAATTGACAGTAATATCATAATCTTTCTATCAGATGTATATATCTTCAGTATGTCAGAAATCGAGAAAGGATGACATGTGTTGATTTATGTAGCTATGTGTAGCAGTGGCATCCTGTCTTAGCTCACCTGACTCAGCATGAGATTATGTTGTGGCCTGGATCGGTGGTCTTTTAGACTTGCTCAAGTCTCTAAGGCAATAATTACAAGTTTAAGTCATAATTTCTAGATTATATAAATTATAAGAACAAGTTGTCATCATAAAAGACACACATCCTCTTATCTAGACTTGCCTATTTAGGATAGAATTACAACACTTTGATGGACTTGTCTTTCACTACAGCCTTGGAGCAAGGCTAGTGGTCCTAAGGCAATGTTGGTGTCGGTTAACAACTTGTCAGAAACCACCAGAGCAGTGATGCCATGGCAGCCAATTGAAGAGCCCTTTTATTGCCATTACTCAGCCACTTCTGTTCAAAATCAGGGATTTGGTTCACCATATTTGCTGCATTTTTAGTGATGTTTGACATGTTGACCTTGATTTGACCTTAGCACTTGACATAACTCTTCAATTCTCTCAAAATGTATTCTTGGCCATGTAAACATCTTCTCTGAATCTGCTGGACTGGTGAAGTTTGGCATGCATGTTTCCTCTTACAGTGACAATATATTATGTTCAAGTCTGTGATTTTGTTGTTACTTTTTAATATTTAAACATGTCAGTATATATCTTTTTCTCCATATGATTGTAGTATTATGAAATCAATATATTTCCTAAAGGGTAGGGGGGCACGCACGGGTGGCCCAGTCATCTAAGGCACTGCGATTCGCTGTGCAGAGTTGTGTCCCTTGGGCATGCCAGAAACCTTTGATTGTGGGTTCGAATCCCGGTTCGCCCCAATTATGTTTCTAGGTTTGTCAGCACCATACCTGTGCTCGTGGGTTTCACCGAAGTGGTAAACGTCTGAGATCTGCATCACTTCGGACTTTCCTCCCACATTAAGCTGACATGCCGCGATATAACTGGAATACTGTTATAAGCGGCGTTAAACCCAACTCACTCACTCACTCTTACAATGACAATATATTATGTTCAAGTCTTTGTGTTTTTGTTGTTACTTTTTAATATATAAACATGTCAGCATATATCTTATTCTCCATATGATTGTAGTATTATGAAATCAATATATCTTCTCAAAAGTAGTTGTGTGTTTATTACCAAACTTAGTACATGACTCTCTAGGATGGGATGCTGCGATGAAAATGTTTTGTACACGGTTAATCGTAGTTCAAGGTCACAAGGAATAGGTGGTGATTGGGCTGCTTCCATTTTGCATCTAATGTAATGCAACTTTTCTAGTTTCTCAGATACAGCTGACTTGAATATTCTGATACTTCATGAAGATATTGGTCACCATTGTGGGGTTGAGTTTTATGAAAGGCGTTGACATAAAAAGTTAAAATATTTTTCCCTCAAAAATTGAAAAAATTGTAGGGCATTAAAATTTAATCTCCTAGGAAGGTTTATTAGAGTTGAAACATGTAAAGGAAAGTTAACTGTTGTGTACGCAAGGATTTTATATAATATTATGGATGACCTTCACTTTTGCAGATTAAGAAACATTGAAAGTTAGTTACTTTAATTGTACACAAATAGACACCATTGTCATATGCAAATAGGGGTGGTCGGGTAGCCTAGTGGTTAAAGCGTTCGCTCGTCACACCGAAGACCCGGGTTCGATTCCCGACATGGGTACAATGTGTGAAGCCCATTTCTGGTGTCCCCCGCCGTGATATTTCTGGAATATTGCTAAAAGCGGCGCCAAACTATACTCACTCACTCACTCACTCACTCACTCACTCACTCACTCACTCACTCACTCACTCACTCACTCACTCACTCACTCACTCACTCACTCACTCACTCACTCACATGCAAATAGTCAACTATTTATTTTGGATTGTTGGTTTATGTAAAATAACTAGATTTTGGGAGACGACAATTATTCCCTCTAGATTTTCATAGTTCCAGACTTACCGACCAATGGCTGTGTCTCACCCTGCTCGTGTTGTGTCATGTCAGTTCATCAATATCTATGCAGAAAATATTTGAATATTTCTGTATTTATGTATGTTATAGATTTGACAGCAATGTTTGTTGGGTGTCTGTTGAAACTGTTGACTATATATTGAGATGAGCTACTTTGCAATGGCAATATCTTAATTACAATTAGTTGTTTAAACCAGCAATGATGCATGGCTCACTCCTTGGTAACAAGATGTCTGTCATGCAAACCTTGAAGAGTTATTTCCCTTGGATCACATCTACATCTAGCTTGCTATGGCAGTAATTCATTCAACAGATTCAACACAGAACAAAAGTGTAACATAATTCAGGAATATTAGAAGATCAATATTGTTTTTAATATTTGTCATGTCAACTTAAATGAATTTAAAATATAAAAATACACACATAAATAAGGTTTCAGTTGAATTGTAAAAAAGAAAACAGTTTCAGAAACACCTATCTAAACTTATTGTGATAGTTTCTTGATGTAAGAAGATTGAAAGTAATTCCTTAGTCACCTTAAAACAAACAAGGGGACCTATTCTCAGCCAGGGCCCTACTGTTTCTTCAAATATATGTGTGTTTGATGTGATAGATTATGCTGTTTAATATCATCTTAAACAGACTTGGCAGACTGAAGCATAATAATCTTTTTCAAGCATTTTCTAGGACAGTTTTGATTATTTACCCCCTAGAATATCAAATGCTCTGTCACGGACACTAGATGATGCTGTTTAGGATTATGTTTACATAACAATATGCAACGTCTCTGTTTTCCCTTGCAGCTATACGATGGGTTATCAACCAAGTCCCCCTCTGTGGTGCTGGATCGGAAGAAGCGCCCTGTGCTTGTGTCCGACTCCAGCACGCTGGTCATTGTGTTCGACACAGGGGTCAACCCGAAAGGCTGCTGTGAATATTCCGGGTTCAAGGCTGCGTACCAGTTTATCTCAGGTGAGTGCCTCGTTAAGGGACGGAACTCTGTAAGGTTAGCTCATTTTCTGAAAAAATGTTCAGTTACTGTTTCCATGTGATGCAATGTTTGCATATCACCGCAGACAAAAGTAGCAGAAAAGGACATAATTATTCACTCACAAAAATCTTAGACATGAATAGTTTCTAAATTTGTCTTGCTCTATTGAGTCCCCATGACCAAGAGTTAGTATCAGTGGTTTAAGGATCGGGACAAACAGCTTCAATTTGTTTAAGAGGAGAGAATGTTTACATGTCATCTTACTTTGATTTTATTCGCTTCAGGAATTGTAACAAAGCTTTAACTAAAATAACCTTTATATTGACAGCATATGCAAAGTGTAGGTGTATAATACACCTACAACCTACAATAGGAGAGGTCTATTGATGAATAAACCTATGGTTGATACAAAGAAACCATAATGAGAGAAATAATGGGGTATATGAGCAAGGTAAAAGTGCTCATATACAAACCTTATTGTCTCAAGACCCGTGAAGATCCGGGTCAGAATAGGTCTTCAGCAACCCATGCTTGCTGTAAAAGGCGAGTATGTTTGTCGTAAGAGGCGACTAACGGGATCGGGTGGTCAGGCTCGCTGACTTTGTTGATGCATGTCATCGTATCCCAATTGCGTGGATCGATGCTCATGATGTTGATCACTGGATAGTCTGGTCCAGACTCAATTATTTACAGACTGCTGTCACATAGCTGAAATATTGCTGAGTGCGACGTTAAACAACAAACAAACAAACAAAATCTTGTCTGGTCTCATCTCGTCTTGTTTTTTCTATCCGGATTTCGTTTGTCTGCACTGTTCTGATCTCATTAGTCCTCTCTGTCTTGAAGGGGCGGTCAGGTAGCCTAGTGGTTAAAGCGTTCGCTCATCACGCCAAAGACCCAGGTTTAATTCCCGACATTGGTACAATGTGTGAAGCCCATTTCTGATGTCCCCCCGCTGTGATATTGCTGGAATATTGCTAAAAGCGGCGTAAAACCACACACACTCACTCACTCACTCACTCACTCACTCGACCCACTCACTCACTCACTCACTCACTCACTCACTCTCTGTCTTGAATGAATGTCTTCTCTGTCATGATGTTGTTGATCTTGCCTATCCTGATCATGTTGATCATTTATCTGATCTCTAGTGATGGTTATTTGCAGAGAAGGACTGGCCAGATAAGCCAATCACAGACTGCAGTAGAAAGTATGCAATGAGATCGGGAGGTATGATCGACTTCACAGGGTCAATGTTACATCCGGGCCAGCCCAACTTCTTCGACTGTGTGTGGATTATCAAGAGACACCCTGGAGAGGACAGACCGGATGGAGTCATGCTGAGGATGAGGGAGGTCCTACTGGGAGATGGTGAGTGGCAGCAATGTCAGTCTGAATTGGTGATGATGATGTGAGTAACATGTCTTCACTATGAGAGCCTAATTCAGTTTTAGAAGTGTGGTTTTTTTTAGACGTCAAAAGTAATTTTGTTACAGAGTTGCGATTTACTAATGGTAAAAGTGGTTGTCCACAAGGAAATGTCAGTACACCTTCCTGAGTTTTGCTTGTCTCAGACTATCAGACTTGTGTTAATGTTGAACCCTGTAATTAATTTGCAGTGAATGAGTGAGTGAGTTGGGTTTAACGCCGCTTTTAACATTATTCCAGTTATATCATGGCGTGTAAGCTTAATGTGGGAGGAAAGCCCCAAGTTATGCAGGTCAGACGTTTATCACTTCGGTGAAACCCACGAGTACGGGTATGGTGCTGACAAACCTAGAAACATAATTGGGGCGATCCGGGATTAGAACCCACAATCATAGGTTTCTGGTGTGCCCAAGGGACGCAACTCTGCATAGCGAATCGCGGCGCCTTAGACAACTGGGCCACCCGTGTCCCCAATTTGCAGTGAGTAGAAGGTTCAGATAACAAGTTTCTAAGCAAAACCTCTCTACTTCCCGTCAAACACAATTTGGTGGGTTTTCATTATTCAAGGGAGATAACCTTGACATGATTCTTGGCATCAACCACGCTTCGACTACTACATTGCAACAAACTGCAAAAGTATACATGCTTCATGTCTTCCATTGAACAGTATCCTAGAAAACTTATTTCAATAACCTCTTTAAGACAAATGTGTCTTTAATAATAATTTCTTTACAGTGAAACCTTAAGCGGTTCAAATATGGCCTTGAGTCAATTCTGTTAGTTCTACTTTTTTCATTGACGTTCTTGGTTCTACAGGTTGGCTACAGTATGGAAAAGTCAACAGCCTTGAGATTCGTCAGGGGACGACATCACTGAGCCCAATCAAACACAAATACACAGCCAAAAACCTGACCTACGCCCAGACGTTCTACACCTCCGGGCAGGGCCTCTACATCCGACTTCGTGGAGGCTTCTATTCAACAGATAAACTCTCTTTCATATTCACAGCCGTCAAAAATATATCTGCAGGTAGGTCACAGTAATTGAGTTACTGCTAAGCAACTTAAGCAATATTAGTGCAGAGCATCAGATAAGCAGCGTATTTGCGTAAAATACCCCCACCCCACCCCCCCAAAAATATATTCAAAACCCTGTTACTTTCAATTAACTTGCGTACAGAAACGCATGCATTTAATGAAAAACTCAAATGTATAAAAACAGCATGTGTAAATACCCCATGAAGCTTTTTCAGCATGCGTACAATGGATCTAATTTCCGAAACACAATTACAAGCTAATTTACTTTCAGAGTCAAGCCTATATATTTAGAACAGTTATATACATCTAAAACATTATTTCATTTTTTTCTTAAATCTTTAAATGTTCACTAATTTTGGGAAAAACCCAATAGAGTGATGAATAGATGAGTGAAAAAATATTGGTTGCCCAGTTAAAAATGTAATAACCCAAATTAAAATAGAAACCTTAGAGTAAAAACTCAATTGCTCAAACATTTATCTGGAGCTCTGTCAGTGTGAACACCACGTTTGGAACAGTTGGCATTTCACTTGCAACAGAAGAGTCCATTCAATACAACAGGGAACTACAGTCTGTAATGTATTTGTCAACGTGCTGTTCTCCTGTTCCCTTGATCTATTCATGGCTCTGTTTCCATGATCTGTTCCTGAAATCTGTTTCCAGGATCTGTTGACATTGTTTAGCTCTCACAGCACTGTAGAATTAAATGTTTCTTCCGGAAATATACAATCTTATCATTATTATGAAATGAAGTTGGAACACTTACTTCTGTATATTGACCTTGTAGATTTACACAATTCCCTTTTGTTCAGGTGGCAGTTGTCCTGGCTACTTCGAATATCTGTGTCAGAATCTGATGTGTATCGCCCAGGAACTGATGTGTGATGGCATCGACCACTGTGGTGACAACTCGGACGAGAGTCCGGCACTGGACTGCTCAGTCTCAGGTAGGGGAACACATGCATCAGGACCCACAGTTTACAATGGTACAGTGGATTAAATGCTTACTTCAGTTCGGATTTGTTAACTGGGTATTTCCGGTGTTACATGCAGTGGATTAAATGCGTTCTTCAGTTCGGATTTGTTAACTGGATATGTCCGGTGTTACGTGCAGTGGATTCAATGCGTACTTCAGTTCGGATTTGTTAACTGGATATTTCCGGTGTTACGTGCAGTGGATTCAATGCGTACTTCAGTTCGGATTTGTTAACTGGATATTTCCGGGGTTACGTACAGTGGATTAAATGCGTACTTCAGTTCAGATTTGTTAACTGGATATTTCCGGTGTTACGTGCTCACGGTGATCAGCTGATAATGTTTTTTGAGATGGGGAAAACATTGTGTCATTTAAAAACTTAATAAAAATGTAAGAAAATTTTGGGAGCCATGCTTTACCACGCGCTATGACCGAGTTAGCGCTGTTTTGAAGAGCGCAATCGCGAGGGAACTCTGTAGTTGAAGTATGATAGCCCCATGGGTATGTAGTACTATGTACCTATTTAAGACAATACATGTACTACACAAAATATACTGAACAAAATAGTTCGGGACTATGAATGTTTTTGTATTGCTATGAAATTGTTTGTTCAGTCTTCATGACAAAAAACATCCCCCAAAATATTCATGATCCCAACTTTTTTTTGTTCAGTATATATGTGCATGTAAACAGCAATCAGGCATTCTTGAAACAGTAGATTGCAATTGGTTGCGAGAAGTTAAGATGTTGTTGTTTTTTTTTGTTGTTTAACACCGCACACGGCAATGTCCCCGCTATATAACGGTGATCCGTAAATAATCGAGTCTGGACCAGACAATCCAGTGATTGACATCATGAGCGTTGATCCTTGCAATTGGGATACAATGACATGCATCAACCAAGTCAGGGAACCTCGTAACACATGGTCTGAATGGATACCCACATTTTAAATAATCGAAAATGGTAAAGTACTTAGTAGGGGCGCTGGTTATTCCACCATGCCGCCGTGGTCTATTTTTAACAGTTCCGTTAAAAATCTGGGGACATTGGAGTATAAAGGTAATTGTTTAGGAAATTCATGCATTTCGGATTTTGTCTACTATTGTGATTGACAAGTCATGTTTGGTTTAATTGTTTTCCACATTCCCATTAATTTGTATAGCTTACGAAACCCTGAATTCATAAAATGTGTTAGAAACTTTGTCACAATAATGAAAGGTAAACCCTGAATAGTGTGTGAGTGAGTGAATATTTATAGTAACATCGGCAAAAGATGAACTCAGTATGGTAGGTAACTGCAAAATCAATGGTGAAACATATAAAACAATAATTTTGTTTTTCTTCTATATGTGTCGATATAACATTCTGAATTACTTTTTTTTATCTCATTGTAATATGTTTATATTTAAATTTAAATTAACAATGTAATTTTCTTTAAGATATTAGATTTTTTGGCCATTTTCTTTCCTAATTCATAAAAAGATAAATCCTTGTTTTGATCTCAATCAGACATATACTCAGCCTTTTGGAGTTCACAGTGGGAGTTCACAGCTTGTTAAATATTTTTTGGGGGAAACGATTTTATAGTAAATTTAATCTGATAACAAAGAGTTTGCCGCCATGTTGATGCAACACATTAAAAGTTTAGTTTTCTTGTTAGTGTTGTGTCATCCCATTACATTGATAGTCTTGGTGGTATCAAACTCAACTAGTAGTGTTTTATCTGTCCATTCCCGCGGTTAAAATTGGTCCCTAGTAACCTATGCTGGTTATACAAGATGACTCAGGCTCAGTGACTTGGTTGATTACGGTATGTGTCATCGTACCCAGATGGCATGGATCGTTCCTCATTATATCAATCACCAGATATTCTGGTCCATATTTGATTACCGGTATTAACAGGCAGTCGTCACAGCTGAAATATTGCTGAGTGTGGTGATAAAAAGAAAAAACAACTGTCTATTGTAGCCTTATCAGGTCAGGTACTCTTGTAATGCATCAATAGACCACATCCTAATAATGTCTCCTTGTCAGAATAATGGATTTGTCTGTTTCAGCTCTGTGGAGATTGAGTTTCAAATGGTCCATGCCTTTTATGGGTTAGTAATTGCCATAGATATATAGTTCATCAATAGATTATTATTCAAGTGTGTTTCCATATCATAGATATCATTATTAATAAAAATTGTAATATATATTTCTTATTCCTAATATTTGATACCAGTATGTACAAAACGGAAACACACGAGGATAATAATCTCTTTATCATATGATGTCATTCTTAAAGAAGTCAATGATTAAGACTTCTTTTAACCCAATGAATTAACTTTAATAGATGCACATGAATTCAATATTTAAATGAAATGCCCCATTTATCATATAATGTAGTGCCAACTGATTTGCAGCCATGTTTGTATACAGAAACACCCCCACACTTAGAAACCCTGTCTAAACTTATTTTGGAACGTCATCATCATTCATTGATCAAGCAGACATTCCATTGATGTTTGGGGCTTAAATGTGGTTCCTGCAATTTGAATATTTATCGGATCGTGATACCAAGTTTATATTAGATTGGTATATCGCATCGATGACACTATCCATCATATGATTAAAGTTGTACTATGAAATATAACACACTTTTGCTCACCGGAATCAAAGGTCCAAATGAAATCTTGAGATGTCCTTCTTTTTCACCAAAACTGATGAAAAGAAGACCTGAAACTGTAGTAGGATGTATAGTGTCAGAGTCGTTCAGGGATTATTGTATTTGTGGCATTAAAATAAATATTTACGTTTGGGCTTTTTTAAAGATGAAATAGAAACTGCTGTCTAGGAATATGAAACATTGATATGATGTGTAGCAAAGTTATTGGTAGCACAATACTACCACAGGAAGTTCTGATTAAAATGATGAAATTATATTCTTTACTATCAAACACGCCATAATATATATGAATATGAGAGGTGCGTTTGATAGTGAAAAAGTAATGTATCATAATAGTTCACAAAAATTCCTTAGTTGCTACTGACCTTATGGCCCATATTATCTCGTTTGACGAGGGGGAAAAGTTCTTTCTGAAACAATAAACAGATGTCTGATGATTTTTGCTCTTTGTGCGAGTCTTTTATTGTTTTATTTACTTGTTGTTTGATCACAGATGTGAGCAGCCCCGGGCCATCTCCGCGATGTGAAGATGGGTTTCTGTGTGCAAGTGGTACAGAGTGTCTGGCCCACAGAAAGCGGTGTGACGGGCTCCTTGACTGCCAGGATGGCTCTGATGAATATGGATGCTGTAAGCGTTACTATCATTTATTACCCAATATGCTGCTAGCTTCTGTCTAGGTCTCTGCCATTATGGTTCCAAGGAAGATGAATGCTGTAGGCATTATGATCATTTATTACCAAAATGCTAATAGGTTCTGTTAATATCTAGTTTTGGAAAGTTTTGATGAATATGGATGCTGTAAGCGTTACGATCATTTATTACCAAAATGCTACTAGCTTCTCTCTAGGTCTCTGCCAATATGGTTCCAATGAATATGGATGCTGTAAACATTATGATCATTTATTACCAAGCATGACACATCTACTACCGTGTTTTGCCACCCATAATACAACCTCACGTATAATGCAGTCCCCGTATAACTAACTTAAATATCAATGCTACTAGGCCCTGTGAAGATCTCTGCAAAAAATGGCCTGGTGAATATGGATACTGTAAGCTTTAAGATAATTTATAACCTCAAATTACACTTCACCCAGATTCTGTCAAAAATCTCTTGATTCTTATGATACCATCAAAATTTGTTTTTGTCAGTAGGGTGGACATCACATTATTTGAAATGATTTTAACCTGTTTCAGATACGCCCACAACAGATCATTCAGCAGCCACATCATCTCTCTCTAAACATGGATTATGTCTCATATATGTATTGGTTTTATTGGTTATATTCCTCAATAATACGTAGCCAACATTGTACCAATGTGTGTTTGAGAATGTATGAGAACATGTGTATATGTGCGAGAGTAAATAAGAATGTATAACAACCACACCCACTAATTGTTAATCTTGCTTAATACATGTACCAGGGATATAAGGGTGTTATACCAAATGGGAAGATATGTAACTGCTGGCCATTCAACCAATCAAAGGGTATCTAAGACAGGCAACAGGGCAGGGATCGGTACAACAGCAATCTGTTTCATATGGTGCAGCTGTAAATATAGATATTTATATGATTGGTGGGTGTGGTGATATTTATATTTGAGAAACTTGCAGAAGTTAAAAGCCATTGCATTGTGGAAACATTAAATGGAATCGCTTGTTAATCTATCAAAATGGGGAAGTGGATTACAGGCTTGCTACCCCAGCTGGGTTGAAGGTAAGAAGTCTCCCACCAGTCGTGCTGTATTGTCCACCTCCCTGGGATGATATGAGGTGGGACGTAACAGAGTAAGCAGCTATTGTAATATTCTCCCCAAATCTTAATAATAAATATAAGTCCATTTATTATGTACCAGATTTTGTTCACCAAGTGAATGCTCACGGCATTACATTATTATTGCCACCGTCTTTGAATCAGTGTGCACTCAAATTTCATACTCAGCTCCCTGGGGAGTATGTTCGCACAGTGACAGTCTCTAATGTGGCAGATCGTTCAGTTCCTGATAAAATGTGCTATACCATTGTTATGTAACATCCTTCCCAAGTCAATATCATCAATATATCTGTTGCTAAGGGATGCCACCCGTTTTATTTTTGTGATTCCCTGTTTTCTTCTTGTCTGTCTTAGCCCTTCAGCAGGGTTTTGTTTCATTTAGGTCAGAAATATTTTTAGAGGTAGGATGGTGATATTTATGCCGAATCAAAAGTGAATAGCTTGTGGATATGTCATAGTATTACAGCAATATTAATTTGCGATATTTAAGGATTTTTGAATATGTTATTATAAGGACTAATGGACTAGAAAGTTTGTTTTTGTCACTGAGTAAGAGTTTCCATAGATACCCTCAAAATATGCCACTGATCTGAGTCTTACAATTTATCAGCTGGGTCCTCTTGCACAAAGCGATCTTAGTGCTGCGATGATGGTAACTCTTATACTCTGATAATATTTGTAGCGCTAAAAGTACCCGTGAAGATTCGGGGTAGAATAGGACTTCAGCAACCCATGCTTGCCATAAAAGGCGACTATGCTTGTCGTAAGAGGCGACTATCGGGATTGGGTGGTCAGGCTGGCTGACTTGGTTGATATGTGTCATCGTATCCCAATTGCATGGATCGATGCTAATGATGTCAATCATTGTATTATCTGGTCCAGACTCAGTTATTTACAGACCGCCGTCATATACTGTAGCTGGAATATTGCTGAGTATTGCTGGTATAAAGAAATCATAGTGCTAAGATCATTCTGAGTTTTATCCATTTGTTAAAATGAATTCTCACAATCACCACTTCTGCAAGTTTCTTGTGCCAGACATTGGCTCGAGGTGCTACTTATATTGGATGTACATATTCCTCCCGTGCTGCCATTGTGATATCAATTGCTTTATGCAACACACCTGTGTCATGTCCCTGTCAACTTGCCTTCTCACAAACTTCTATGGGAATTCCCATCTGCAATCTGTTCACTCAATGTATAACTGTAAATATGTAGAAACCAAGGACTGTTTACAGGCTCATGCCTAACACAGACTTTGTACTTATAGTCGCTGTGTTATTGTTTTCAATTTGTATAGACTGGATAACAAACCACAAACAAAACAAACCACAAACAAATCAAAAGTTCAGTGTTTGTGTTATTATTTTCAATTTGAATAGGCTGGATAACAAACCACAAACAAATCAAAAGTTCAGTGTGTGTGTTATTCCAGTTACGAATGACAAGAAGGATACTCTCTCCACCTCTCCCTAAAACAAGTTACAAATTGTGAACCCTCGATCCTCTTTTAATTAAGGAATCCTGAAGCTCCCCCTCTCATGGTCATCACACAAAGTGGACAAGCATTTGGGGAGGGCTAGCAAAGACATAATACACATGTGGTAGGGTATTATTATATATAACACCCTACTTGCTTTTCATAAATAACCGGTCCCTCTCTTCATGGAATTTTCTGTTCTTTTTTCAGTGAGGCCTTTGTTAAAAAATTGAACATGTTTCCCTTGTTCCCAATCAGTTTCCTTGTCTACTGATGGGTCCTCCTTTACCTCAGGTTGAACTTAGTATTTGCTCAACTGATTCAGTACAAAGGAAATAGTACTAGGTATTCGTTTGTTACCTGCATGATCAATATGTCAAATCAGATACTTACATAATTTGACTTTTCCGTACAGATTATTGGTTGCATTTTAAAGATGACTACTTTTAGGAATACAGACTTGCCAATTTCAAACAAAACGTTACTGCCATATTTCAAAGTTAAGACCTTGATGCGACATGGATCCATGGCATGGCGATAACAATGACATATTAATGTGGTTTTAAAACTTGATTGTCAAGGAATAATGTGCCTTTGACATTATGGCCATTTGAAAACAAGACTTGCCATTGTTAATGGTTATATTTGTCAATGATAACAGGGTGTGTGCCTTCCGTATGTGTCCATAGTAAATTGTGTGTCTGGCCACTTGTCTTGGTAACTATGCAAATAGCATATGAATGTTAGGGGCTTTGTTGGTCCCTAGTGAGTAGAGGTGAGAAGCCTACACTTTTCAACAGAATTGTAACAAATACAATGGCAACAAGACCAGAAATGGGGTATAAACAGAATATCAACCGCCAAGATATTTAATTGCAAAACTGGTATATATCTAAAAAATATATGCTAAAATATTTTATCCATCTTTATTGAGCACTAACCTTGTCTCAAATTACTCTGCGCAAGCACCATATAAGGAGACCACATAAATCTTTTGTGAGGCTGTTTCTTTAGAGTTGTTTGTTAAGAAATTACCTTTGTCTTTTTATGTCACAATGGATATAAATACTTGCATGGTCTTCTTCTTGCCTGGAATTACAAATTAACATAACTGCCAACTCTTTTGTTATAGAAATTTAAGTCTTCAATTTTTTTCCATCCATGCATGGAAAACACTTGTTACATGTCTGTGACGTTTGTGTGTTAGACATTGCACCATATAAGGAGAGCACATGAATCTTTTGTGTAGCATTTTGTTTTAAGTCGTTGTTAATATCCTTATATGCTTCTTCAGGATGGATATATATAAATATACCCGGTATATATCTTTGCATAGCCTTCCTCTCGTCTGGAATTACAAATTATATGAACTGCCAACGTTTTTGTTGACAGTGGAAAACACTTGTTACGTTTCTCTGTGAAGTTTGTGTGTTCAACATTAGCTTGTTTTACTCATGTGCTATCCTTGTTGAAGCTGTGCTGTTTCAAGTTCTATTCTACTTCCTGTTTGGGTGTGTATGTCAACTGTTATAGCTGGGCACGCCCCCTTGCACTCTTGGTTTGTATTTTGACCTTAAATGAAAAGTTTGAAAAATTCAAACAAAATCATTTCTTTCATCAATAACAGATTTATGGGTGTATATCTGTTTATATATCATCACTTTGAAGAAAATATTTTGTCAACACTAAAACAATTTTTGAGTATTTGTGTAAATATGTGATCAATTTTAACTTGCATATAACAGAAAAAAAGCCTGTTTATTTATTGTTCTTTCGTTTCAGACTGCCAACTCTTTTTCAACGAAAGTTGGCTAAGAAAATATTATTGAGTCTTCTTTGGTATTATTTTTATTTTTGACTGTTGATTCAGTATTTGGAGCTCAGTGTTTGTATTAAATTACATTGATTTATCCATAAGCATTGTTAAACTAGTATAAAAGTGGAAGGATTATGAAGTTATACATTTTACCACTACCCGACCGCCCCTGTTGTACACAGACAAAATTAACAAGTGATGAGTCAGCATATTACATTTTTAGTTATTTCTATGTAGATGTCTAAGTCTAAGAGTACGAATGGGGGGAAATGTCATCTTCCCTTATAATTTTGAAGTATGGACTCAAAATAGCTTTGACATCAGTTTGCCGTTTTTGAAATGTGAAAGCAAATCCACCTGATTAATCCTCATAAGTGTCATTGTCATGGAAATATTGTATCAGAAAAATATGATTTGTACAGTTCCTTTCTATTATTTTCTTCAGAAGATCCTCTACAAATGTAGATATTAAATTTACTCGGTCATGAAGAACATGATGAAACAGCTGAGGTAGAATCTTTACGTTTACAAAGGGCTTCTTTTTTTCATCATTTTGATTACATATTTGTTTTCCCAAAGCAGACAATATTCAAAATAAAATAAGAATGAAAAATGATATTCCTCTTAAAGTGTTCCCCTTAAAGTATTGTCGATTAAGAGAAATAAAGAAAAATAATTACATGTACATGTAACTGAAATTAACAGATACTTTTGAAGTTTTATTTTGGGTTAGCAGCCTCAGTAAGCAAGTAATCCAAAGTAATATCATGATTTAATTCAAGAATGCTTCTGATACAATGCTGTGATTGGAAAATTTGTCTCCTAATGTACAAAGCATTTTGTATATATGACACTGTATATTCGTTGTCCATCTCTCAAACATGGTGTACATGGTTTGACTGCTGCACCCACGATGAATGGGGGGCACATATTTATGTTTTTGAGAGTTTAATATCACAGCATGAATACCAAATAAAAATATTTAAATATCCAGCTCCATGTTGCTTGTTTGTGATTTTTGAAGGCTGTCTACTGAACTTGGAACAATGTTTTCTTGACAAGGTTATTTTCAATTTGCCTTGAATCATCCCAAGTTTCACATGTACCTTCCTTTCCCAATGTGTCACAGCTGCAGGTGACAAGCAGTTTCCCCTGGTTTCTGTTCTCTTGCAAGTAGGCCTAAAAATTGCTTACAAGTTGCTTGACTGCTGTTAGTTTGTTGTTCCACACAACACCTAAATATACTACTCAAAAGAAGTTAAAGAACACCTGATTCTTTCATATTACTACAGTTAATCTGTCATGGCATGTGATTAACTATAGTTAAATGAAAGAATTGGGTGTTCTTTAACTTCTTTTGAGTAGTATATATTCCGCATGTATCACTGTGGCCTGTAAAAGATTGAGTCTGGGCCCGACAATGCCATGACTGATATGAACCACAATGTCTCATGGCTCAATAACACACAATAAACCATTATAGCGAGGATAACGACCCGTGAAGATCCGGGTCAGAATAGGTTTTCAGCAACCAAGGCTTGCCGTAAAAGGTGACCACGCTTGTCGTAAGAGGTGAGTAACGGGATTGGGTGGTCAGGCTCAGTGACTTGGTTGATGCATGACATTGATCCCAATTGTGTGGATCAATGCTCATGATGTCAATCACTGGATTGTCTGGTCCGGACTCGATTATTTACAGACTGTCGCATAATAGCTGAAATATTGCTGAGTGCGGCGTTAAACAACAAACAAACAAGCTGGGATAATTCTTTCTTAGGAAAACAAATTCTAATAATGTTTTGGATTGAGTCACAGATTCGAACCCACACTCTGAGAATGAGGCACCTAATCGCCAGCACAAAAAAACAGCGATTTAACCCACTCCGCTATGGGGGCTTACTAAAAATGGAAGTTCGACAACTGGTTGTCTAGATCATGTAATTTGTATACACTTAGAGGGGTGCCTCACTCTAAAAGTGTGGGTTCGAATCTGAAATGGACTTCCTGAAATGGAAACTGGAATTTGTACTTTAATGAGAAAGTACTGTTATATAACATTTATTACATTTGACCACTTTCTGAACAGCATTGTGTATTCACTCAATCAACCTGTTCACTGAGTCTGCCCACCTGATCCTCGGCAAGAACCATGAGCAATTCAAAAACACAAAGTTCCACTTTGAAGGGTTCACCAACAATTCAAATTGGCTTAAATCATAGTAGCCTTTTCTCAACAATAAGTTCTGTATAAAACTGTTTTATTCCAATAATTAAAATAACAAGGTTTGCATGTGCAAAGCATCAGCCATGTTAGGAATAAAAATATAAACAACACAACAATATTTTCTTTGTACAATTGAAAATGTCAGTGAAAATATTAGTCAATCTCAAAGGTCTTACACAAGATTATCTGATTTTATAATATCCATTATTACTGTTAATGATCCAGCAATAAAACAAAATGTGTGATATCCAAAAGGATGCCTGCACATTGTTTTATTCACAGAATAAATGACACTGTATTATTACATATGGGAGGAATATGTTACTTTTCTTGGTTAAGCGTAGCCAGTCACGTTTTGGCCACGCCCCCTGCAGCTGAAATATGGCGACACACAATTGATGTGACCATAACTATATATAAACATTACTAAATACTTGGGGGATATTGCTGGAGCAAATCTTTTAAGTGTTTGGGAAGTATCCCCTGGTTTGTTTGTCCTATTATCTAATTATTTTTTTAAAGAATTCTTTTCTAGTGAAATAATCAGTTTCAAAAGAAATGATATCTTTGCGATGAAACTGCTACAAGCACTTTTGGCTTAATTAGTCTTGCCTTTTTACCATAACCATTTTACTTGAATGTTCTGTTAATTATTGTAAATAATAGACAGTCGGAATGTTTAAAAGAAAACATCAAGTATCAAAATAGAATCTGAAACCAATGTGACTACAAAAAGTATACTACTCAAAACAAGTTAAGGAACACCCCCGATTGGACGGCTGTGTTGCAATATCTACCAGCCATGACAAATGAACTATAACCATGTGAAAAAAGTGTGTGTTCTTTACTTCTTTTGAGTAGTACTGGTATTGATATGCAATTCCTCAATAAAAGTGACGTCACATAATTAAAACACTTGGCTTCAAATAGCGTTTACTAAAATAAATTAAGATCTGTAGTACATGTATTAGTATTAGTATTTATGTGAAACCTCATTATATAATAATGAAATTATCTGAAACAAAATTAGATGAAATTTAACTAGAGCTGCAACAATTGACGTTGATTCCATAAGACATCTATTTCAATAGCATTGCCTGTTAGAGATCCAACAAACACATTCAGTAACTGCTTGAGAACTGTTTCAACTGGAGGTGTTTTGCAAGAAGACCCTTTGATACCATTCCTCAAAGTCTACCACTGGTGGCAGCGATGTTACCGAGAGTGTTACGAAGCTCTGACCCGCCGGGAAAGAGCATGAATGGCCTCATTCATGATAAAGGTTCTTCTACCAGTGAGTGAGTGAGTTTGATTTTACGCTGCTTTTAGCAATATTCCAGCAATATCACGGCAGGGGACACACGAAATGGGCTTCACACATTGTACCCATGTCGGGAATCGAACCCGGGTCTTTGGCGTGACAAGTGAACGCTTTAACCACCAGGCTACCCGACCTCTTCTACCATGTCACAACATACCACAATGCACCAAAAGTTAAGTGAATAGCTCCAGCCCTAATTATAGAGTGATGATCTTGCAACAGGAATTAATGCAACTAAAATACATGCAAAGTTAGAAACATACAACACACTTGCAACATAAAACACAACCGATTGTAACTGAAGATATGTATAGAAGTACCAGGTTGGTTGGTTGATTTGTTGTTTAACGCCGCACTCGGCAATATTCCAGCAATATGACGGCAGTCGGTAAATAATCGAGTCTGGACCAGACAATCCAGTGATTAATGTCATGAGCATCGAACCACGCAATTGGGATCGATGACATGCATCAACCAAGTCAGCAAGCCTGACCACCCGATCCCATTAGTTGCCTTTTACGACAAGCATGGTCACCTTTTCCGGCAAGCATAGTCGCCTTTTACGGCAAGCATAGTCACCTTTTACGACAAGCACTAGGGTTACTACTATATCAGCACCCCACAAGTTGAGGCATAATTCTGCCAGCTTCCTTAATATAGCTTTTTTTTGTCGGTCAGTCTTGTAAACCAACTGAAAAAAATATATGGCCTAGGTGAGGACTGGTGTTGGGAAAGGGTTAGGAATATATCATCAATCATTGGTCACAATCATCCTGTTCCAACACTGCAACTGATAATAAATTCAGGGATGAGGATTGATATTTTCCTTTCAGTTGAAACTTCTTTGCAATGGAGTTGCCCATAATTTGGGGGTGTTTAGGGGGAAGCCATGAGATTTTAACAACTTTGTGGTTACTAAAATTTGCGGATCCCCGGAAGATTCTCACCCTTGTATAATCAAAGATTGTTCATTTCTCTTTTTTTTCCCAGACATTTTATGTGAAAGACCCTTTATTTACAAAGGTTTTGTGACGTAATTCACAAGTGAAAGTACTTGATTGGCTGAAGACGGCTGTACATGATTATGTGTACCCTTCCACAGAGCACAGGAATGCTTGATCAGGTTGAATACTAGTACATAGCATTTGTCTCCATCATTGATTCTATACACAATCAATCATTGGCACAGGGTAAGGATCAATCAGTCAGGTTCATTAATGAAAATACCAAATTTCCTTTGCAAGATAAATTCTCAATATTGTAATGGGTTTGTAGACATTCTCTTCGGTTTTTTGTGAAGCTTTGAAGGCTTATTACAGATTGAGATTTCCAAACTCAATAACTGAAATTCTGAATTGGACTTTGTGTTTCTTATTGGAAAAGAACTGTCAGTTATATTGTGTATGCGCAGGTGAATTAATATTAATTATGTTAATGATTCAATCAGGTATGGTTTTGTTTCTCCCATTAGGTTAGCAGTGTATTAGGCCTGTCAACCCTCCCACATCTGGCGGGAGACTACCACAAGTTGATGAAATCTCCCGCTCTCCCAATGAAAGACAATTTCTCCCGCAAAACAGCATTTTTCAATAATAAAAACTGTGCCTCCATTGTCCCCCGATTAAAAACAAAGAACAGGAAGTTGACGATTACGAAAATCCACGAGTAAGTTTTCAGTTAAATTTGTATGCAATTGTCCGGCTACACTGTATAGTATGTGCACCCATTCCCAAGTTAATGGCTACAGGAACATTATCAGGGATTGTGTCCAGTCAACCCTCATGGTGGTTATACCACATATCGATTACATATCCATTAATATACAACACTATGAACAGCTGCTGTATACGTAATGCTTATACCACATATCACTCTTCACATCAAATACTACACAAAAGAACACAAGGACCACCCAATTCTTTCATATTACTATATTCAGTCTGTCATGTTATGACATATACTGTAGTAATATGAAAGAATCTGGTTGTCCGTAACTTCTTTTGAGTAGTATACTACAACATTGTATCTGCATTTGCTTGTGGTTTTACCATCATTGAAATGGTCTCACTATTGTGGTTCCAAATACTGTGACCATTAGTGTAGGTAGATTATTTCACAACAAAAAGGGTGAATACTGGATGTGAGCCATAATCACTGGATTCTGGCACACCGAAGGGGAGTAACTCTGCACAAGCACATTGAATTGCAGAGCCTTTGCCAACAAGCCATTAGTGCCACCCCGTACATTACTCACGATCAATATACAGAAGTGACATGGCTGACTGCAGCATGCATCTCCCTCCCTCCCTCCCTCTCTCACAGTCCACATCTGGGATGTCACCAGCAGATGAAAGTCTTTAGGTAAATAAATCCATGTATAATGACAATTACAAGCATCTTGTAAAACATTAATCTGGTTACAATAAAGTGTATACATGTATCATTCAAACATCCACAACTAAATATGTCTGCTGTATCTGTTGCTAGGAAACAGAAATGTCACATCCACTCTTCCTTACTGACCACTAAGTTGCAGTCTCTCATGACGGAATGTTCCAAGTTTGAGTGAAATTTGTGTAGTAACCAGGGGTCCGGAAACAGTCATATGTCCGGTTTAAAATATTGCTTACCGGACATATAAATTTTTCTGTCCAGACATTTTAAAAAACAAACAACGCTACCTTCGGGGTCCAAATAATTGATGAGCGTTATCGTATCCCTTCAATGAATTCAGGTGAATAAACTCTAGTCCAGATAAACAATGAACAAATCTTTTTATCACCAGATATTATAATGATAGGATTAAGATAGGATTAAATTGCGTACTTCATTTCAGATTTGTTGACTGGTATTTCCGGTGTTACGTGATCGCAGTGATCAGCTGATAATGTTTTCTGAGATGGGGGAAAACATTGTGTCATTGGAAAACTTGAGTTTATTAAAAATGTTAGTAAATTTTGGGAGCTATGCCTTACCGTGCGCTATAACCGAAGCGCGCAATAACGAGGGAACACTGTACGTAACAACTGGTAATGTTTGTGAAAAGTCATACAAAAATACGCTACTTGAAGGGGGCGTGGCCTAAATGCAAATGTCCGATTGGGATTTAAAATTTTCCGGACCCCTGGTAGTAACCATGACAACTTGACAATCGTCTATTTATAAGTCATATGCCCTTGCATAAATTTACATCAGAGTTCAAGTCACACGCATTCAACAACACTGCAGTGTCCTATATATCCCTGAAACTGTTGCTCTGAGGAAGATGGGCAAGATGTACCATGTACCAGTGTATAACGTACTAATGTACCATGTACCGATGTATTTGTACCAAGTACAAGTGTATAATACATCCTCTCACAGCTACAATGTATCAAGCATCTTTTCTCAGCTTTGAAGCTCAATATGCACAGAGCTGGACTATCAACAGTATCGGGGGTGTGTGTTCCTGATACAAGCAGCATTTATCATGCTCGCCGAGTGCATGACACTACCAAGAATGGGTTGGGTGTCACCTTGGGCAAAAATTGTTTGTGTAATTTAGCTTCCTTTGATCACAATCTCCTAAATGTTCCCCATGGTTCTGTCAACCATATAGCGCATATAAATCACAATGCAGCAATGGTCGCTCACAGAAATCACAATATACTTAAAGTAGCTGAAAGAAATCACAATATTGTGATTGTAGCTCAGAGAATTCCCAAGATGGTGATATGTCTTGTAAAGCGGACACAATCCTAGGCAAGTATAATCATCCCACTGACACGCTTCCATATATGTTGAGATCCCTGTTCTGAACAACCGTTGCACACAGATTAAGTCCGATGCACACCTGCACCAACAAATTCACATAAATATGTGACATATCACAGAATCACACAAAAATGTCTGGATCACCATCACCTGTGTCCAAAGAAAGCGAGAGATAAGTCCCTCGTAACCGATCGTCTTGTGATTGGGGTTCCTCTCTCTCTGCTTGCCCATGCCTTCGAGGGCTGTGAGCTGGCACTATGGCTGTGGAAGGAACCCGGAGTACCACCTCTCCACCCTCTGTAGAACTGTCTCTCACATGGGAAGGTGAACGGTTACTGCCTGATTGCCTGCCTCTCCTCCCCCGTTGCCGTGGACGATCAGATGGTGATTGAGGCTCGGATTGTGTTCGAGGCTCTGGTTGTGTTCGAGAATCAGGTTGTATTCGAGGTTCAGGCTGTGTTCGAGGCTCAGGTTCTGATCGATTTCTTGAGGATTTCTTCTTCTTTTTGGCTGTGTGATCCCGATCTTTCCCATGAGCAACTAAACTGTCTCTACTTCTTCCTTGACCTTGACTGTCACCTTGACCTGGGCAGGCTGCTGCACCTTGCTCCCGCACAGCCTCACTTTCACTCTGTGGTTTGGGGTCCTTGTTTCTCAGAGTAGATGAGCTGACAGGGCACTCTATGAACTCATCAACTGGCTTACTGTGTCTCTGCTGGTTCATGCGTCCAGACTCATCATGGCGTCCAGACGACACAGATGTGTCATGAGGGGGGTAACAGTCCCTTTCTGCTACTGTGGAATCCGACGAAAAGGACGCTTGGCATAGATGGCGTTCCATTTGTGATCCATCCGACGATGTGTCAGATGCTCTTGGAATGTCGCATGAGTGGGACTCCAGCGAGTCTGAGGAACTTGTGGAGTCTGCTGATTGGTTGAGGACATTCTGTGAGGACGTGAGTCGAGGTACGTCTGTGGTCGGGCTGGTTGCTTCCTCGTAGGTGGGTGGGTTAACGAGTCCATTGTTGACGTCTGGCTGGGACCACATGAAAGCCTGTGAGTACAGAAACTGTGTCAGACAGCCCAGGTTATATACTGTGTACTTTTCATGTCAACTGTTCTCAACAATGTCTTTAACTGGCAGTTAGAAGATGTAGTATCTGGGTATGAAATGGGTTTAATGTCGCATTCAAGATAATTGCACGTATATAGCAACTTGAGGGTTATAACTGGTTAACACAAAGTATAAGCCCATCCCATCATATAAAAGTACCTATCCCAAATAGTACCGTATACCAGGACAGTTAATTATCAATGTATAAGCCAATCCCCTCTTACAAAAGTGTACCTGGACAACTGGCCATGTATGAACCATCCCAAATAGTACCGTATACCAGGACAGTTAATTATCAATGTATAAGCCAATCCCCTCTTACAAAAGTGTACCTGGACAACTGGCCATGTATGAACCATCCCAAATAGTACCGTATACCAGGACAGTTAATTATCAATGTATAAGCCAATCCCCTCTTACAAAAGTGTACCTGGACAATTGGCCATGTATGAACCTATCCCAAATAGTACCGTATACCAGGACAGTTATTTAACAATATATAAGCCAATCCCCTCTTACAAAAGTGTACCTGGACAACTGGCCATGTATGAACCTATCCTAAATAGTACTGTATACCAGGACAGTTGACCAAGTATATGCCCATCCCCCCACCAGGACAACTGACCATGTTGAGATAGCCAATGGGAGTGTTCTGGATGACTTCATCGTAGGAAGGCGGAGCATCTTGCTGGATCGTTAGGTTCATCCTTATTCGACTCCTGTTCCTCCCTCGTCCTGCAACATGACATACAGACACTGGATTTCTGGAGATGGTTGTAGTCATAAATATCCTAGTAAATAAATACCTTATCACCCAACTTACATCCTGGGTGATAGCCATTTCATGTAGGATGAATGAATATAAGATGTAAAAAAGTCAAAGTAGACTAAAACAATATGGATAACACCTTTATTATACTGTAATAGCCTCCGACACGTGGTATAAAGCCTAACGGGGGATGCATAAAACCCCATGTACCGCAAGTAATCCTGCTACAACAAATTTATCTTACCGACATGTTCTAATATGACATTGTAAAAGAATTCAAACAAATTCAAAATTGAAAGAAAACAGATTGTCACTTGACTTCCAATCCCTGGGAAAAAGCATGCAGCTCTTTTCTTTGAAGTGGGGTATTAGGGATTTATTCTGTCTCTCAGATATCCACATGCAGCCTGATTTGCTCCTGGCGGGGTATAGGGGATATATTTCCCCGCTGAGATCTCATCATTCTGACATGGAGGTTTGATAATTATCCTTATACTGTTGTCAAGCAAGGATCTATACCGAAACATCACTATTACAGTATAAAAAAGACATTGTTATCCATACTTTTTTGTGTGTCAACTTTGTAAAGTCAAATGAGAAAAAAAATGACAGGATTTTGTTCTGAAAATGTATGGACACAAAAAGATAATAGGACTATGTGAATAAATTTTCTTGTGGCAATGTCATTAAAATTTGAAAGTTTGCTGGCACCTTATTCCTTGTCACAACTCCAATTTATTCAGGCTCAAGAAAAGAAACCCTTGTCATTATATACTGTGACCATGGTGACAACTCACGGTTCCGACGCGCCATGTTGCCGCTGACCGAGGTGATTGGCTGTCGACCATTGCGTGGTCCCTGCTGGGACAGCGTACGACATCGGCGGATGAAGATGATGAGCAGACAGATGACGACGATGAGGAAGATGGAGATGACCATTGGGATGATGACGCCGATGCTGATGGTGTAGGAGTAGCGGGAATATTCCCCATCTTTGGTGCCTGGAACAAAGACAGGGTGTTACTGTAATATCAACTGTATATAGTGTATACTCAGGGAGCTGAGAATGAAAAAAAAATCGCACACTGATCCAGGGCCTGGGGTCATAATGTAGTGCTTTGAGCATGCTTTAGGGTGTGGCACATAATAAAAATACACATTGTTATTATTATTATTATTATTATTATTCAATCTCATTAAAATCAGATCTAAGTTCTCGCTGCCGCTAAACAAAGATCTGAGGACATCCCATTACGAGTCACGTCAAAACGACCTTTCGCGAAGTTTGACCGACCACTGAAATGACTAACAAGAATCGACATCAGCCAATTAGAAAGCAGCTTTCATGAGCCTTACGGCACTCGTTTCAACCTGTTGACTTCCATTTCAGACTACGCTTGAAAAATATGTTGACACAGTTCTCGATTAAAATTTTGTAAAACTGATCAAACGAACATTCCAGAATGTCTAATATATGGTTGCGATTGTATGGCAGTGCTTCCCGAGTACTGTGCAACGCCTCCTCCGTTCAAATGTTTATCACATGGAAGCGAGAGATAGGCGATAATTTTGAAAGAATCAGTCGTACGAGCCGTAACTGTTGTTCGGAATACCCCGTGTTAACGTTTTTGAGGTTGCATCATTAGAAAACACATTCCGACTATCACTTTCACGATCTGGTAAGCGACGCTCTGATTGGTCAGATGAAAAAAGGTCGTTCTGACGTGACCCATAATGGGATGTCCTCAGATCTTTGTTTAGCGATATCGAAAACAAAGATCTGATTTTAATGAGATTGTAGTAGTAGTAGTAGTAGTAGTAGTAGTAGTAGTAGTAGTAGTAGTAGTATCAGCATGACTGCATACAAATAATGAGTGAATGACTCTGAACAACAGGATTTAGGTGATACAACATGTATATATGCACTCTCAACATATATCCCCTCTTAACCATCCAAGCTATCGACTTTCAGCAGCCATTGTAATCACATGACAGCAGATAGCTGCCTAGCATTCTCCTATACATCAATGACAGTGTCGACACTTGCAAGACTTGAGAGCTGTAATATTTTCTACTTGATGAGGAGCGGGACACCATCTCATACCAGACTGACCTCTGACCCCTGAGTTTCATGTACTACATTCACAAAAACAATTTCTGACACAAAATGCTGGGACAAATAGTTTGTGACTCTGGTTTTACAAAACTAAAATAATAAATCACATCACATGTCAGATGTCCTGACAAAAACAACATGTTGTGATCTCAGAAATATGTTTGTGGCTCCTCCTCACTGAGTAAGAGTGAGTGAGTGAGTGGTTTTATGCCGCTTTTAGCAATATTCCAGCAATATCACGGCGGGTATAACACCAGAAATGGGTTTAACACAATGTACCCATGTCGGGAATCGATCCAGGGTCTTCAGTGTGACGAGTCAACGCTTTAACCACTAAGCTACCTGATCACTCCTTTCTGAGTAAGAAATGTAAATTTACATGCTTGGAAGCAGTGATTGAAAAAAGATTCAAACCCAAACATAATAAAATAACCTGTATATATCACATCAACTATTATAGTGCTTACAATTCAAGTATCATTATCATGATGAACATTGGATTCAAACCCAATCTGAATGGCAGCACCTAGGCCACTTGATCCACTGTACCCCCTGGGGGTGTCATGACTGCCAGATAACATATGGTCTTTTTTTTTAAATAGAAAAGTCCCTCTACATATAAATCTCTCTTCATTCCAAACTATAAATAGAGTGAGTGAGTGAGTATTATTTTACGCCGCTTTTAGCAATATTCCAGCAATATCACGGCAGTGGACACCAGACTTGGGCTTCACACCTTGTACACATGTCAGGGATCAAACCCGAGTCTTCGACGTGACAAGCGAACGCTTTAACCACTAGGTTACCCGACCGCCCTATAAATAGAATCATCATACATTGGAAACCTTTTTTCCAGACCCGACACCCTGTTCAACAGGGTAGTGGAGATTGTCAGCTCCTGTATGAAAACATAGATGAATAGGGGAGGACATCTTGTATCTACACACAACAGATGCAGTTATCGAATGAATGACAGACACAGCTCACATTATCCTGACTTACCTCTATCAATCGGGGGATAGGGGAGGATGTTGGACATCTTGCAGCTACACACAACAGATGCTGTTATCAGACAATCCAAACAGCAGACGACACATCTCACATTATCCCCAAAAGTAAGTGTCAACTGCCTGCCTAACTTCCCACAACACCGTACACAGTGAAGTAACCGGGATCCCTGATGTTAACACAGTAGTCCTGACGGCCCTACTCTAAGGACCTCACGTTATCATTTCCTTATTTTCCTCGAAAAATATCTTTATTTCCCTGTGAGCTGTTGACAGACAACAACACATGACTGTATCCTCAAACAAGGGAGTCGTAGCATGACCTCTACAGCCTTGTGACCCCTCACCTATGACATAGCAAGTCAACAAGGTGTGTTTGAACTCGGAGTCAATACAGAAGGTGGTCTTCAAAGTCAGGCACATGTTTTGCTTAGTTTACAGTTCGACTTTTTGCCCTGCGAGAAGTTATGTCAAACATTTCCTGCAACTGTGTCACAGCTGGACTGTTTCGGTGTGGGTTGAGTCGGGCGAGGTAGGAAATGTGAGGTGAACTTGAGGAAATGTGTCCTGTATTGGCCGGAGTCTGGGCGGTTTAGTGGAGTGTGTTGTGTTCATGGTGTTGGACTGTACACAACGGAACATCCCAACAACAATTGCAGAAAGCTGGGACGTGTTAATTCAGGACTGTCACATCTCAACATCATTTTCAATATTTTTATTTACTTTCTCAATGGTTTCACACCTTATCGCTGTTACATAAACATCAGTTATGTGTCTATTTACAGAAGTATAGGATACAAAAATTCAACGATGGTATTTCTGACTACACCCTTTTTCTTGAGGACTTTTTTCATGTGTGGGCTATAAACAGCATATCAACACATGCACACATCCTGGTTATGGCAGGTTATCTTTGTTTGTTTGTTTGTTGTTTAACACTGCAATCAGCAATATTCCAGCTACATGACAGTGGTCTGTAAATAAGGAAACACAACAACAAATGACATTCCCTGGTAACTACTGCTTCTCTCTACTGATACTGTCTACTGGTACTGTCTGGTAGTGTCTACTGGTTTGATCTACTGCTTCTCTCTACTGATACTGTCTACTGATACTGTCTGGTAGTGTCTACTGGTTTGATCTACTGCTTCTATCTACTGATACTGTCTACTGATACTGTCTACTGGTAGTGTCTATTGGTTTGATCTACTGATACTGTCTACTGGTACCGTCTACTGGTTTGATCTACTGCTTCTACCTACTGCTACTGTCTACTGCTACTGGTTTGATCTCCTGCTTCTGTCTACTGATACTGTCTTCTGATACTGTTTACTGCTTCTGTCTTCTGATACTGTCTACTGCTTCTGTCTACTGATACTTTCTACTGCTTCTACTTCTGATACTGTCTACTGCTACTGGTTTGTTCTCCTGCTTGTCTACTGATACTGTCTACTGCTTCTGTCTACTGATACTGTCTACTGATACTGTCTTCTGATACTGTCTTCTGATACTGTCTACTGATACTGTCTACTGCTTCTGTCTACTGTCTTTTTAATACTGTCATTTGCTTCTGTCTACAGCATATGTCTTCTGCTTTGATCTACTGATATTGTCTACATCTGTCTACTGCTCTTATCTACTGATGTTGTGTAAATCTGTCTGCTTCTTCAGTCTACTGCTATTGTCTGCTACTTCCATCTACTGCTAATGTCTACAGAAACTACCCATTCCAGGATCTAAACCTGTGATTTTGGCGTGGAAAGCGAACGTGTACCCACTAATCCACCCCACCGCCCAGCACCAACACAAAATAACATCTACTGCTCATGCAATAAATCATGTAAGAGGCGGAAACAAATGATCTTTCCTTGTATGATTTCATAAACATTTTTACTTATTTCGTTCTTAAAATAACATTGGAAAAATGCACATTAATTAACCAGTTAGAGACTTTAGATTGATTGATTACACCAGTACCAGTGATTGAGTGGACCAGCCCCTGGTGTGTGTACATGGACATAGCTCTGCCCAGGGCCAGCCTCTGTGGGTCTATGTCAAACAATGGGAGTTACACCAGTCACAGCGCCAAGATCACTGTGGGCAAGTGGTGCCTGGGAGTCGAGACAGTTGTCTCCTGACAACAAACAACTACTACTGTGTTGTCAAACCCTAAACAAACGACTCCAGTGTATCCACACACCCCACAAACAGAAGCAGTGCCTTCGAAGAAAATGCACTTAAAGATCAACTTTTGTTTGTTTCTTTGTTGTTTAACGCCACACTCAGCAATATTCTAGCTATATGACGGCGGTCTGTAAATAATCAAGTCTGGTCCAGACAATCCAGTTATTGACATCATGAGCATCGTTCCACGCATTTTGGGATACGTTGACATGCATCAACCAATCCTGATCCTGTTGGTCGCCTCTTATAACAAGCCTGGATTGCTGAAGACCTATTCTACCCCTGATCTTCACAGGTCTAAATATTAATTTGTTTGTTTGCCTACATACAGCTGCTGGGGATACATATCAACTAGACTGGAGCTTTCTACAATACATGCCTTCCTAGCTAGGGTCGATGGCCATTTGTATTCTTTTAAAAACATTTTACTTTCTAGCGACAGTCAAGGGGGGTCAGGTGTATTACACTGTGTAAAAAGCTACTTTCCAAGCAATACCCAATGATCAGAATGTATTGCGTTAAAAGAATACTACCAGGGACTCATCGATGATTCCAAACTACGTGCCCTTGGCAGGCAAATTGGGAAAACATTTTGTTCAAATTTGTGATATTTTGTGAAAATCATATTTTCCTAAATTCCAAGGGACGTTAATGCATCCAGTGCATAAATGTATGGCCAAGCATTATATTATCTTCCCCTGTTACAGTGAAATACAAATCACTTGACCATGCCGTCACATCAGTTATAACTGTCACAGCAGGAAATGGGAAATTAATCAGTTCAATTTGAGAATTTGTGCAGATATTAGCTGCAGGTCTAGAGAAATCCTTTTCTATTTTGCTAGCTACAGTAAATGATATGTATGTAATATATTAAAATAGTACTACTTTCCCAATAACAGTCAATGATCAGTTTGTATAATGTTATAATAGTACTACTTTCCTAATTACAGTCAATGATCAGTATGTATAATGTTATAATAGTACTACTTTCCTAATTACAGTCAATCATCAGTACGTATTATGTTAAAATAGTACTACTTTCCTAATTACAGTCAATGATCAGTATGTATAATGTTATAATAGTACTACTTTCTTAGCTACAGTCAATGATCAGTATGTATTATCTTAAAATAGTACTACCTTCCTAGCTGCGGTCAATTATCAGAATGTGTCAAAATAATAATATTTCCTAGCTACAGCCATTAAGAATGGGCTTCATATTCTACCAGTACAGAGAATCAAAACCTGGTCTATGCAGCTTGATACCCCACCAACTAGGCTACCCCTATATCAAGTTAAAACATCATAAACTGGGTACAGAAGATCACCTAGTTTCAAACAAGCTGTATCTGTACAGGTTATTCTGATGTCACAAGGTCTAGAGTTCGATCCCCGGCCGCGTCATACCAAAAGACGTTAAAAGATGGTACTTGTTGTTACCCTGTCTGGCGCTCGACATTAAGGGGCTAAAACAAGGACTGGTCGGCTCGGAGTCAGTTTACTGTGTCTGAGTGGGATATTCATGTTAAACTGCGGCATGGTATCTCAGTGAGCTAGCACTATAAATCGGCATCAGTTCGGACTAGTACAAGCAGCCACACAAACACACACACGTACATGCACGTCGCTATATAAGTGCAATAATCTTGGACGCGACGTTAAACCCCATTTCACCTCACCTCACCAATGTCACAAGAACACACTTAAAACCTGATTCAAATATGAATAACCTTGTGTTGTAGTTTGTGCCGTTGTCCATGGTGATGAGGTTGAGGCCCAAAATGCTGGCCTGTTGTTTCCAATCACGGAGCTGGAAGCTGGGAACTGATACCCTGCCATAATGGAAGCCTTAAATCCAGGCACGACACTGTCTTCCTAACAACAGGAATTGATGTGTATATCCATGAATATCTTCTCCTCAATGACTGATGGTCACGGAGATCCTAGCTGCTGACAACTACCTATGTGTGCAGAATGTTGAGTTTTATACCAGGAAGACAAGGACGGCTAGAGTACATGCTGGTCTGTGCACTGGGTGGAGCTGGGCAGACTTCTGTTTGATGTTTACCACAGAAAAGAGAGTAAGACAGGGAGTTTAGTACGGTGCAATCCACTTGTCAGTGCTACAAAACATACTTGCTACATAATGCAGCCATGTTGCCTGTCTGGGGTCTTGTTTCGTACATGAACATTTCAGTTATCAATAGTCTTGATAACTTGTCAATTTTCAAGCAATATCGAGTGAGGAATATTCACTAGGAGTTAATTGTGGAATAATGATTGCCGAGCTACATGCTCAAGTATTCAAAGTAATTAAGATCCATTACAGAGGTGGCTGAAAGGGTGAAAACCCTAACCAACCCAAACATTTATACATTCTGGAATTTTCAGGTGACCATACTAACTTATTTTCACGTGACCATACTTAACGTGAGTTAACGTGAGTGAGTGTGTGAGTGAGTGAGTGAGTGAGTGAGTGAGTGAGTGAGTGAGTGAGTAGTTTAAATCCGCTTTGAACAGTATTCCAGTGATATCACGGCATGTCAGCTTGATGTGAGAGAAGCCTGAAGTGATGCAGGTACCACATGTTATTGGTAGGTTCACTCAATTTACTTTCATTTTTAAAACTTATGAAGAAATTCATCCTGTTACACAACAGTCAGCAACATTGCAGGTATATCATAGTGAGTGAGTGAGTAGCAACTTTTTTTTGTTAATTCACTTCAAACAACCTTTCATACAGGAGGAACACTGCAACGTGTAAATTCCGCCACAATAATTTGATACAATGTCACATGTCTAGTTCTTATGTCTTCGGGTTACATCCTGAACTGAGGCTGACGTGACAGATCAGTGAGGGCCTGTTTGTAAGTGAATGGGTGAGTAACTAAAGTGGGGTTTAACGTCACGTTCAAGATTATTGCACCTATAGATCCACATGAATGCATGTGTGTGTGTGTGGCTGATTGAACTAGTACGGACAAATGATGGTTTTATAGTACTAGACGACTAATATGATATGCTACAGTTTAACATGAATACCCCACTCCACACTCTATCCCCTTAATACCAATCAAAAGACACAATAGCAGTAAAATGGAACAAGAACACATGCCTTGTCCATGATAAGCAAGCACATTTACCACCAGATTGTAAGACTATCTCTGTTGAATGAATAAAACACTACCAGACTCAAACAGGGACTAACCCATACTGGACATCAAACCCCAACCTTGTCCATGATGAGTGAACACAGGCCCCCACAGCACCATCCTACCTTGCAGTTAACCAATGACATTCCTACGACGAAGACATTATGTAGTGAGTGAGTGGGTGAGTGGGTGGGTGGGTGGGTGGGTGAGTGAGTGAGTGAGTGAGTGAGTGAGTGAGTGAGTGAGTGAGTGAGTGAGTGAGTGAGTGAGTGAGTGAGTGAGTGAGTGAGTGTGAGTGAGTGTGAGTGAGTGAGTGAGTGAGTGAGTGAGTGAGTGAGTGAGTGAGTGAGTGAGTGAGTGAGTGTTGTTTTATGTTGTTATCATCAATGCTCCAGAGATATCCTGATGGCCTGAAAATCATTGAGATTTGACATAGCAAACCTGTAGCTGGATGCATCAGATTTTGTTTGTTGATTAACGCCAATCTAAACAATATTCCAGCCATATGACGTGGCTTGGAAATAATTAAATCTTGACCAGACAAACCAGTGATTGATCCTGTGTGCGTGATTCCTGCTGTCAGGTTACAATGACATGAACTTAACGAAGTCCTGACCCTCCCCATCCATTACGTCGTACAACAAGCAAATGTTCCTGGGGAACTATTCTAACCCGGAATCCCCACAGGGTGGCTGCATCAGCAACAATCAACACTGTGGGGTTACCATGACACACAATAAACCAGATGACATTTCAACCATTCAATCCTCATCGTTCTCGTACATCTAGCATGAGCGTGTTCCATTCTGCCTGGGAATCTGTGCAGGGTACTAAGATGTTTTGAAAGTGCCTACCACAGAGAGAGGACCTTTCATCCGAGTTGTCGCCACAGTGGTCGTAGCTGTCGCACTTGAGGTCTGAGGAGATGCAGCGGCCGTTGAAACACTTGAAGTCTCGGTATCGACAAACTCCTGCATCAGAGATGGGAGCAACATCAGTGCACGTGAACAAAACTCTTATTTCAGTCTTGAACCATTTCATAAAACTTTTAACATCTTTAACAGATTGAATACCCATTACAAAGAAGTTGAAATTATTATTTTCACAACATTGTGTGAATGTTTTCCATCAACCATGGTACAAACTCATGGTTGTCTCCCTTTGTCTACATCCAGCTATCGGCCCAAATCAACCAAGCAGCACATCAAACAAAGCAACAAAGCCTAAGAGGTTGTTAATGATAGCCGGGAAGGTTAATGAGCATGTCATTAGCTAAAGAACCATGTCAAACCACCGTCATAACACACGTCACACAAAAACTACAGCCTGTGACTTTACACACTTGTTCATTTCAGTGGTAACAGAGCTCCAGATAAGCTTTTGGTGTTTTGGGTATTTTACCCATCGATTTTAAAATCACTGGGTATCAGTAATTCTATCTGGGTATTAAAATTTCTGTTACCCACTAGTTTTTACACATGTGGGTATTTAAGTTAAATATTTAAAAGCACTATTCATCTAGTCCCTGCAAACTGGGTTCGAGAGCTTTATAGGACTAAAAAATACCACAATACTTCCACAAGAAAGTGTGATGGCAAATGATCATGATGTGACTGTCATCGTGGAGTTTGGCAAGGTTGAGGGATTGCCCGTTTATAATTTCAAACTAAGTTGCTGATTTGCTAATCAAATACGCAGGGTTACTTCACAATATTTTGATGATACGCAAAAGTTATATTTTTGTAGCGTATCTGTTATGTTCGTTGCATATTTGATACGCTTGAATTTTATTTTACTGCGTATTTCTGCATTTCTGATGCGTATTCCACGCAGATACGCAGCTTATCTGGAGCTCTGGGTAATCAGCTTCTTTATTTCAGTATTTCTGGGACTCATGTACAACAGTTTATTGCTGCTTTGAGTGAGTAAGTGAGTGAGTTGGATTTAAAGTCGCTTTTAGCAATATTCCAGCAATATCATGGCGGGGGACACCAGAGATTGGCTTCAAACATTGTACCCATGTGGGGAATCAAACCAGGGTCTTCAGCATGATGAGCGAATGCTTTACCCACCAGGCTACCCCACCGCCCATTTTGCTGCTTTGAACAGTTCTTCATTATATCATGGCTCCTTAGCTTCATGTGGGCAGAAAGCCCAAGGACTTTAACATTTACCTTACTGGCAAAACCCACATTTGAAGTCTAGAAAACTCTATTTCTGTCAATTAAGTTCAGGTAATAATATTCTATAGAGAGACACGAAAATCAACTGAAAATTACGTCAAAAGATATATATGAAAGAGGACTCAAACATTTTTAGCACAGAGAGCACATACTGGACAACCACTTTTTGGTTTCACCTAACAAGTCCCCAGCGCTCCGTGACAATGTTCCGTGACAATGTTCCGTGACAATGTTCCGTGACAATGTCCCGTGACAATGTTCCATCATGTTGACTTACCGTAGCTGTAGGAGGAGTAGGCCAGAACGAAGTCCCGGGCGTTTTGGTACCGTCCCTGGAGACGCACATAGAAGCCAGTGTTGTTCACGAAGCCATGGTTCTTGTAGCGATCCAGGTTTTCATACTTCACCAGAGCCACTTCAGTGCCAAGGGAGGTAATTCCTCCCCGAATCTCCACCCGGTCCCGCTGTTGTGGGTAGTACACTGGGAACAATGCGAGTGGAGGTTTACATACTCGGACAACTGTTCTGTAGATCACATATTAAACATATGAATGTTCTGGTTTTGTCTGATGACAGAAATGAAATGTGTTCATGTTGTGTTGACCGTATAATTGTGTTATTCTCTGTTCTGGATATTTGTGACAAGTTGGTCACTGATCAAAATCTGTGTTAGCCAACACAGCAAGACCTTGACAATAAGAACTCCATTACATTCTACTCAAAACAAGTTAAAGAACACCCATTTTTTCATATCACTATAGATAATCTGCCATGGCTGGTGGGTATTGCAACACACAGCCTTCCAGTTGTGGGTGTTCTTTGACTTGTTTTGAGTTTTGTTTGTTTGTTTGTTGTTTAAGGCCACACTCAGCAGTATTCCAGCTGTATGACGTCTGTCTGTAAATAATCGAGTCTGGACAAGACCATCCAGTGATTGACAACTTGAGCATCGATCCACGCAATTGGGATATGATGACATTTATCAACCAAGTCAGTGAGTCTGACCACCTGATCCCACTTACGACAAGCCTTGGCGCCTTTTACGGCAAGAATGAAGACCTATTCTACCCCCGATCTTCACGGGTCTGTTTTGAGTAGTATATCACGATATGGTTAAAGACAGACATCCAGTATAGTCCTCCTCAAGACTTCAATGGCACAATGGTCTAAATAGTGATACTCTGCTTGTCTTGAAAGTACAGACAATTTAACTCAACATCAGTGCCCAATAAACTTTGAGATAAACAAGTTTCATTGTTCAGTGAAATCTTGTTAATTTGTTTCCATTGAAGTGTGACGGAGTAACAAATTTTCGAATTATTAAGTGTAATAAATCAAAGGTTGAATAGTCTATAACTGTTCCCCAGATTAACCATCCATAAGACAGGGTTAACAAATAGCTGGAGGAAAAATCATACAATAAGATGTATATAAGGTTAAAAAAAATGAAAGAATTGGCCCTCAGGCAATGATGTTTGAAAATATAGTGCAGGCTGGCGGTCTTTTTTTCTTTTCTTTTTTGGCTTGTTCAAACTAGTATGTAACCAAATAAACAGTTTTGTATATCAACCTGGTAAAGAGCCTCCCTACATAAACAAGCATACAAACTCCTATTGCTGCCATGACCATAACACGAGATGTGCAGTAAAGCAGTGCTCATGTAAAGGGAAGTAACTGCGTGCTGTACTGGGTCACATTAATTATTTTGGAAATGGCACTAAAAATGAAATGTGCAGCAGACTTTATGATGATGCGGGCGGTGCCTGAGAACCAAGACTATTATTTTTTTAGCCTAAATATTCCTAAGACTTATCATCCAGAAAGCAGGATTCTGGGATAAACAGGGTCTGGATTACAAAGGTTTCACTGTATAAGAGTGTGTGATAGACAACTCACTTGGTGAGCTGTCATATTCAATGAGCTTGACTTGAATCATGCTGAACTCTCGATGGCGCCCAAAAACCCAGATACAATCATAGTATTCATTGGTGCTCATCACAGGGTTAAAGGTCACGACCCCTCCTTCCTTGTCCATCAAGTATCCTCCACAGTCTAGACAGAAGAAAACAAATAAACTAACAAATAAATAAACACATACTACCTCAATGTATCACAAATCACACAAAGCAACAAGTACTGTATTTTCTTGAGTATAGTGTGCAGTTTTTTTTCCAAAAAACACAGCTGTGTAGAAGGGTGTGTGCATTATACACGAATTAATGAGTTTTGATGTTTTTTCCCCCATGGAAAGACATTACCGTGAGCACGTAACACCGGAAATACAATGTCAAAAAATCCATACTGAAGTTCGCAAATTATTCATGTAATACACTGGCTATAAAAAGTGTTCTTTGTATATCTGGACTTATGTTTGTAACTTATTTCATTAATTTTATTCAAAATTCTTTTTAATATTGTTTTACATAATTTCGGCTTAGTTTACTAGAAAATACACAAGGTAATCTTAATGCCTGGATATAAAACAATGCCTAGCTGAACAAAATATACAAATTAAACGGTAAATCAACATGTCTGGTGATTTTTTATCTCAAATTTCGAATTTGTACTGACGTAGTTTCTCATCACCCGTTCGTTTGCCGGACTTCGCTAAAGTGGTCGGTGTAATTTTTTTCTGCGCATAATATTCAAATTTCTTTTTTTCCAAAATATTGAACCCGCTAGAGGGGTGTGCGCATTATACATGGGTGCGCACTATACTCAAGAAAATACGGTAAGTAAGAAGTAACCCACAAGCAATTACTTCCCACATACATGCATATGGGTCGGTGGGGAAGCCTAGTGGTTAAAGCGTTCGCTCGTCACGAGGGGCCAGGTTCGATTCCCTAAATGGGTACAATGTGTGAAGTCCATTTCTGGTGTCCCCCTCTGTGATATTGCTGGAATATTGCTAAAACGGTGAAAAACTATATTCTCTCACTCACTACAACATATTATGATAAAAAAAAAGACAAAAGTGAGTTGGGTTTAACACCGCTTCAAACATTATTTCAGTTATATTATGGTGTGTCAGCTTGATATGGGAGGAAAGCCTGAAGTGATGCAGGTCTCGGACATTCATAACTTGGATGAAACCCCTGAGCATTGGTATGGCGCTGGCAAACCTAGAAACATAATTTGGGTGAACAGGATTCGGGGTTCTTGGACACATGATGGATGAAACTCGGCACAATGAATTGTTTCAATATACCAACAATCCATCTTCCAAGAACAAGGTTGTTGAAGTTTGGTTTGTTTGTTGTTTAATGCTGCACTCAGCAATATTCCAGCTTTATGACAGCGGTGGTTGTTGAAGTAATTTTAAAAAATTGACTTTCAGGATGAAAAATATACACCAGTTGGTACTTGAGCTGGGATTATTGGTTTGTAAGAACGATATAAATGTTACAAATCATTTTTTTTAAAAGCTTGGAAACAGTTTTAATAAATATATACAAACCTGTGATGGGTCTCACTGTTTGCCGCCGATCTGAAAAGTATGAAACACATGTCAGATGCACGCCATGTTAAGTCAGTAGAGTTATTTCCCATTGCCCATATCAGCTTGCAGAAGACGGTGATGTTTATTCATTTATACACATCCATCTCATGGCAGACTGTAAATATTTGAATCTGGACCAGTCAAACTATTGGTTGACAACGTGCGGAGACATCCACGCCATCTGGTGTACATTACAATCAACCTGGCTACTATGCTTGTTGTAAGAGATGACTATGCTTGTTGTAAGAGGCGACTATGCTTGTTGTGAGAGGCGACTATGCTTGTTGTAAGAGGTGACTATGCTTGTAAGAGGCGACTATGTTTGTTGTAAGAGGCGACTATGCTTGTTGTAAGAGGCGACTATGCTTGCTTGTAAGAGGCGATTATGCTTGTTGTAAGAGGTGACTATGCTTGTAAGAGGCGACTATGTTTGTTGTAAGAGGCGACTATGCTTGCTTGTAAGAGGCGACTATGCTTGTTGTAAGAGGTGACTATGCTTGTAAGAGGCGACTATGCTTGTTGTAAGAGGTGACTATGCTTGTTGTGAGAGGCGACTATGCTTGTTGTAAGAGGCGACTATGTTTGTTGTAAGAGGCGACTATGCTTGTTGTGAGAGGCGACTATGCTTGTTGTAAGAGGTGACTATGCTTGTTGTAAGAGGCGACTATGCTTGTTGTGAGAGGCGACTATGCTTGTTGTGAGAGGCGACTATGCTTGTAAGAGGCGACTATGTTTGTTGTAAGAGGCGACTATGCTTGTTGTGAGAGGCGACTATGCTTGTTGTGAGAGGCGACTATGCTTGTAAGAGGCGACTATGTTTGTTGTAAGAGGCGACTATGCTTGTTGTAAGAGGCGACTATGCTTGTTGTAAGAGGTGACTATGCTTGTAAGAGGCGATTATGCTTGTTGAAAGAGGTGAAGTGAATATGCTTGTTGTAAGAGGTGACTATGCTTGTTGTGAGAGGCGACTATGCTTGTTGTAAGAGGCGACTATGCTTGTTGTAAGAGGCGACTATGCTTGTTGTAAGAGGCGACTATGCTTGTTGTAAGAGGTGACTATGCTTGTAAGAGGCGATTATGCTTGTTGAAAGAGGTGAAGTGAATATGCTTGTTGTAAGAGGTGACTATGCTTGTTGTGAGAGGCGACTATGCTTGTTGTAAGAGGTGACTATGCTTGTTGTAAGAGGTGACTATGCTTGTTGTGAGAGGCGACTATGCTTGTTGTAAGAGGCGACTATGCTTGTTGTAAGAGGCGACTATGCTTGTTGTAAGAGGCGACTATGTTTGTTGTAAGAGGTGACTATGCTTGTTGTGAGAGGCGACTATGCTTGTTGTAAGAGGCGACTATGCTTGTTGTAAGAGGCGACTATGCTTGTAAGTGGTGACTATGCTTGTTGTAAGAGGTGACTATGCTTGTTGTAAGAGGCAACTATGCTTGTTGTAAGAGGCGACTATGCTTGTTGTAAGAGGCGACTATGCTTGTTGTAAGAGGTGACTATGCTTGTTGTGAGAGGCGACTATGCTTGCTTGTAAGAGGCGACTATGTTTGTTGTAAGAGGCGACTATGCTTGTTGTGAGAGGCGACTATGCTTGTTGTAAGAGGTGACTATGCTTGTTGTGAGAGGCGACTATGCTTGTTGTGAGAGGCGACTATGCTTGTTGTGAGAGGCGACTATGTTTGTAAGAGGCGACTATGTTTGTTGTAAGAGGCGACTATGCTTGTTGTGAGAGGCGACTATGCTTGTTGTGAGAGGCGACTATGCTTGTAAGAGGCGACTATGTTTGTTGTAAGAGGCGACTATGCTTGTTGTAAGAGGCGACTATGCTTGTTGTAAGAGGTGACTATGCTTGTAAGAGGCGATTATGCTTGTTGAAAGAGGTGAAGTGAATATGCTTGTTGTAAGAGGTGACTATGCTTGTTGTGAGAGGCGACTATGCTTGTTGTAAGAGGCGACTATGCTTGTTGTAAGAGGCGACTATGCTTGTTGTAAGAGGCGACTATGCTTGTTGTAAGAGGTGACTATGCTTGTAAGAGGCGATTATGCTTGTTGAAAGAGGTGAAGTGAATATGCTTGTTGTAAGAGGTGACTATGCTTGTTGTGAGAGGCGACTATGCTTGTTGTAAGAGGCGACTATGCTTGTTGTAAGAGGTGACTATGCTTGTTGTAAGAGGCGACTATGCTTGTTGTAAGAGGCGACTATGCTTGTTGTAAGAGGCGACTATGCTTGTTGTAAGAGGCGACTATGTTTGTTGTAAGAGGTGACTATGCTTGTTGTGAGAGGCGACTATGCTTGTTGTAAGAGGCGACTATGCTTGTTGTAAGAGGCGACTATGCTTGTAAGTGGTGACTATGCTTGTTGTAAGAGGTGACTATGCTTGTTGTAAGAGGCGACTATGCTTGTTGTAAGAGGCGACTATGCTTGTTGTAAGAGGCGACTATGCTTGTTGTAAGAGGTGACTATGCTTGTTGTAAGAGGTGACTATGCTTGTTGTAAGAGGTGACTACGCTTGTTGTAAGAGGTGACTATGCTTGTTGTGAGAGGCGACTATGCTTGTTGTAAGAGGCGACTATGCTTATTGTAAGAGGCGACTATGCTTGTTGTAAGAGGTGACTATGCTTGTTGTAAGAGGTGACTATGCTTGTTGTAAGAGGTGACTACGCTTGTTGTAAGAGGTGACTATGCTTGTTGTAAGAGCAACTATGCTTGTTGTAAGATGTGACTATGCTTGTTGTAAGAGGCGACTATGCTTGTAAGAGTTGACTATGCTTGTTGTAAGAGGCGACTATGCTTGTAAGAGGTGACTATGCTTGTTGTAAGAGGTGACTATGCTTGTTGTAAGAGGCGACTAATGGGATTGGGTGGTCAGGCTCACAGACTTGGTTGATGCATGCCATTGCATCATGATTGAAGACCAATCATACTATGAATGTACAATTTGTTTTTCAATGCCACACACAGCAATATTCCAGCTACATGGCAGCATAATATAGTAATAATATGTAGTATAATTCTTGTGCATATATTTGATAACCGAAAAAAAAGGAGCTATGTGTTATTCACACAGAAAACATTTTTCATCACTGGAAATACCAACACATATAAAATATGCCAGTTTGCTATCATGAACTTACTGTTATTAAAAGAGTAGGTGGCTTTAAAACCAATATAGTTGCGATTAGACGATGTTTGCGGTATCCCTGTTTTGAACTTGACAATTAGCTCTGGGCCGTCAGACACAACAACTGGGCGACTGCTGGATCCGTAGATCGGGCCGATAATGTCACTCTTCTGGAACTGAAACCAGAAACACCTTATGTACTTGTCACATTAAAATATTATCATTCTCTTGACCCGCAGCGTGCCTACCACATCAACACACCCACACGATAGTCCCCCACCCCTATGTCAATGTACCAACAGGATAGACCCCCCTGCTGCAACAACCTTCCCACAAGCTTAACCCCCATCACTATGTCAAATCACCCACAGGATAGATCCCCCACACCCAAATCAACACACCAACAGGATAGATCCCCCACACCTACATCAACTCACCCACAGGACAGATCCCCCACACCCACATCACCTCACCCACAGGATAGATCCCCCACACCCACATCAACTCACCCACAGGATAGATCCCCCACACCCACATCAACTCAACCACAGGACAGATTCCCCACACCCACACCCACATCAACTCACCCACAGGATAGATCCCCCACACCTACATCAACTCACCCACAGGATAGATCCCCCACACCCACATCAACTCAACCTCAGCAGAGATTCCCCACACCTACATCAACTCACCCACAGGATAGATCCCCCACACCCACATCAACTCACCCACAGGATAGATCCCCCACACCCACATCAACTCACCCACAGGATAGATCCCCCACACCTACATCAACTCACCCACAGGATAGATCCCCCACACCCACATCAACTCACCCACAGGACAGATCCCCCACACCCACATCAACTCACCCACAGGATAGATTCCCCCACACCCACACCCACTCACCCACAGGATAGATCCCCCACACCCACACCCACTCACCCACAGGATAGATCCCCCACACCCACATCAACTCACCCACAGGACAGATCCCCCACACCCACATCAACTCACCCTCAGCAGAGATCACCAACACCAACATCAACTCACCCAGAAGACAGATCCCCCACACCTACATCAACTCACCCACAGGACAGATCCCCCACACCCACATCAACTCACCCACAGGACAGATCCCCCACACCCACATCAACTCACCCACAGGACAGATCCCCCACACCCACACCCACAGGATAGATCCCCCACACCCACATCAACTCACCCACAGGATAGATCCCCCACACCCACATCAACTCACCCACAGGATAGATCCCCCACACCCACATCAACTCACCCACAGGATAGATCCCCCACACCCACATCAACTCACCCACAGGATAGATTCCCCCACACCCACACCCACTCACCCACAGGATAGATTCCCCTACACCCACATCAACTCACCCACAGGACAGATCCCCCACACCCACATCAACTCACCCACAGGATAGATTCCCCTACACCCACATCAACTCACCCACAGGATAGATTCCCCCACACCCACATCAACTCAACCACAGGACAGATCCCCCACACCCACATCCACTCGACCACAGGACAGATTCCCCACACCCACATCAACTCACCCACAGGATAGATTCCCCTACACCCACATCAACTCACCCACAGGACAGATCACCCACACTCACATCAACTCACCCATAGGATAGATCCCCCCACATCAACTCACCCACAGGATAGACCTTGGAGACATATGCCAGTCGTCAAACGTCAATACAATGTACTCGTCGATGTTAACGGCAGAGAAGTGGTAGATGTACACTTCATCATTCTCGGCATAGAAGTTTGGGAAAGCTGGCGACATGATGTAATTTGAGTCAGAGGGCGTGTCATAGGCTGATCCCCGAATATCTTGCTTCTTTTCTGAAATGAACAGACACAATTATTAAACAAAAGGGAACTAAAAAATAATTTTCAAAATGACTATAAGACTCAAAAATAGATAAAGATAACTTTTGTAATATGAAAAAATCTGTGTTCTTTAACATCTTTGGAGGATATATCTACTCAATACCACAGAAAATTTACTTATTGCTAATTGCAATTTCTAATAAAGTGTTCTCAAAAAATGTTTCAAAATGAAAATAATTATGATACTCCACATTCTAACACCAATATCATACATACTCATTGTTTTTAAATAACTTTACATGAATAACCAATGGAAAAATCATGAAATCATTCTCCGTGATCTCAGAGCATACAGCAAATACAGAACTGAATGTGACATTTCCTGCTGTCTGTGTGTCTTACCAACGACAGTGAGTTGCAGGCTCAGGTGGATATTCTTCACCATGCTTCGATTTGAACACACAACAATGTAGAGTTTCTTTGACAGCGAGTAATACGGGGACTCCGGCCACGGCGTGGAGGTGTACGACCGAGATGTCTCATTCACGTAGTCCGGGTCAAACAGGTGTAGGTATGTGCACCTGAAACAAATAGGTACTTGTAGAAACGTGGAATAAAATTAAATATGTCCCATCTCAGTCAATTCTATATGTGAAGTATAAAACAGATCCATGGGTTTTTATGAGATCTGAACTCATAAACCGACTTTTGCACTCGAAAACAAAAAACAGATTGTCCAAGTACACAATGCACGAGCCGGTGAGTTGTCAACTTTCGCAGATGCAGCACAACTCTCTCGTGACAACAAGGAGCTAATGCTTTCAAAATCATAGACAACAAAGTGTATCTGTTTGAATCATTAACACACTACTGCACATATCAATTTGTGATACCATATTCGACATAATAAGCGCCCCGCTCTAAAAAGCGCCCACTGCGATATTTGTTGATATATTGGCTAGCGAACAATCCCAATTAGCACCCCTTCCAATTAATCAATGTACACAAGACTTATTTATTCGTGTATAATACGCACTCGTGTGTAATGTGCACCCTTAATTATGGGCAAGTAAATCTGGGAAAATATATCTGTCGTATATGAACATTTCAGGCTGTCAGTATAAACCACGAAATCTATCTTTCAACTCTGGTTTTTCCACCAAGATAATATTCTAATAAGAGCCCCCTATTTCTAATTTTGAGAGCACCCTGGGTGCTTATTACGTCGAATACGGTAATTTGGAAACACTACAACATATTTTATCACACACTGCCAATAATAACTTATAACACTCCAAAGTATGGCATCAAAATATCTTCCCATCATACATATGGCCTCAGTGGCCAAAGTGATAACGAGGTGAGAATTATTAGCGAAATGTAGTGGTAGGAGGGAAAGATTTTCAGCACAGTTAATAAAAGTTTATGGGGATGTCATATATGGATTACATATATTGTTACATGTAAAGATTGTGGAGTTTATGAAGAATGATAAACTTCGAACATTCAATTGAAAACTTATTGTCGGAAGTAGTAACATTTTTTTAATGACATATTGGTATGTAATAATAACTTTATTGAGATTTTATAACAATAATGGCTCTAGTCGTGGCAACTTCTAAACTTTCGGGAAGTTGTAATCTATCGGACCATCATTCAGGCGATGTTTCTGACAGATCACGATCTGAAAAATACTATCATGAAAGTGCATCCCATGGATAAGCCGACCCCTTTCTACAGAATCTTTTTTCAAACTTTGGCTTATCTGCGGACATATAGGGTAGTACTAATAAACTATATACTCTGAGTTTCATTTCAAGACAACATTCATCAACATCTGATAGTTCAATACTACTAAAAAGAAGTTATAGCCCACCCAATGCTTTCATATCACGACAGTCAATCTGTCATGCCCTGGCAGATTAACTATCGTAATATGAAAGGATCGGGTGTTCCTTAACTTCATTTGAGTAGTATAGTTTAGCGTAATGATATGGGATGCTACTGTCCAGTGAGGAGAGAACATGAATTCACATGCTTTGTATGCCACAAGAAACAAAGTGTTTCAAGAACATAGGTGAAACTAAAATATCACTACATTCATAATGCTAATATATGATGAGCAATAACTAGGTTTGTCAACTATGTGTTAAAACACATATTGAGTCATATATTATTCTTCGTGTATATGTTGTTGCTATGGAAACAAATCAATGAAAACAAATACAGTAGGCCTAGATCCAACAAAGTTCGCGAGTCTGACCTTGCTTATTGATCAGGAATTGTCATGCCAAATGTCTCTGATTGTGCATTAAATATTAAAACCGACAGCCACTTCAATGCTTAACCTTGGTCCCAAATGAACTGGCAACTGTTCCACATGACTGAAATACCATTGTTTGCTTGGGCTTGGGTTTTCAAATCTGATATATATCATTTCCTATGGAATGTAATGCTGATTGCTTCTAAAGGATAATTAATAATTGATTCATCTTTCATTGATCAGGCAGGTTCATCTTACATTGATCAGGCAGGTCAACCCAAACTCCCATCTCCAGGAGCATGACATACTGGTTATATACCACGTAAACAGCCATCTCCAAGAGCCTGACATACTGGTTATGTACCACGTAAACAGCCATCTCAAGGAGCCTGACATACTGGTTATATACCACGTAAACAGCCATCTCCAGGAGCCTGACTTACTGGTTATATACCACGTAAACTGCCATCTCCAGTAGCCTGACATACTGGTTATATACAACGTAAACAGCCATCTCCAGGAGCCTGACAAACTGGTTATATACCACATAAACAGCCATCTCCAGTAGCCTGACATACTGGTTATATACCACGTAAACAGCCATCTCCAGGAGCCTGACATACTGGTTATATACCACGTAAACAGCCATCTCCAGTAGCCTGACATACTGGTTATATACCACGTAAACAGCCATCTCCAGGAGCCTGACAAACTGGTTATATACCACGTAAACAGCCATCTCCAGTAGCCTGACAAACTGGTTATATACCACGTAAACAGCCATCTCCAGTAGCCTGACATACTGGTTATATACCACGTAAACAGCCATCTCCAGGAGCCTGACATACTGGTTATATACAACGTAAACAGCCATCTCCAAGAGCCTGACATACTGGTTATGTACCACGTAAACAGCCATCTCAAGGAGCCTGACATACTGGTTATATACCACGTAAACAGCCATCTCCAGGAGCCTGACTTACTGGTTATATACCACGTAAACTGCCATCTCCAGTAGCCTGACATACTGGTTATATACAACGTAAACAGCCATCTCCAGGAGCCTGACAAACTGGTTATATACCACATAAACAGCCATCTCCAGTAGCCTGACATACTGGTTATATACCACGTAAACAGCCATCTCCAGGAGCCTGACATACTGGTTATATACCACGTAAACAGCCATCTCCAGTAGCCTGACATACTGGTTATATACCACGTAAACAGCCATCTCCAGGAGCCTGACAAACTGGTTATATACCACGTAAACAGCCATCTCCAGTAGCCTGACAAACTGGTTATATACCACGTAAACAGCCATCTCCAGTAGCCTGACATACTGGTTATATACCACGTAAACAGCCATCTCCAGGAGCCTGACATACTGGTTATATACAACGTAAACAGCCATCTCCAGTAGCCTGACATACTGGTTATATACCATGTAAACAGCCATCTCCAGGAGCCTGACATACTGGTTATATACCACGTAAAACAGCAATCTCCAGGAGCCTGACATAGTGGTTATATACCACGTAAACAGCCATCTCCAGTAGCCTGACATACTGGTTATATACCACGTAAACAGCCATCTCCAGTAGCCTGACATACTGGTTATATACCACGTAAAACAGCCATCTCCAGGAGCCTGACATAGTGGTTATATACCACGTAAACAGCCATCTCCAGTAGCCTGACATACTGGTCATATACCACGTAAAACAGCAATCTCCAGGAGCCTGACATAGTGGTTATATACCACGTAAACAGCCATCTCCAGTAGCCTGACATACTGGTCATATACCACGTAAACAGCCATCTCCAGTAGCCTGACATACTGGTTATGTACTAGGCTGGAATTCCTGGTCTCGATCATAGCGCCAACAGTGGCTATTATGAGTTAAGTCCCTTCTATGCCTCTCCTATGGACTAATCAGATACCACCTCTCGTATCACTTGCATTTGCTTCAAACAAAATGGCGGCTCCCTGTCAAGACAATCTGATCGATAATCAAGATCTATATTGAAGAAAAAGAAAAAGAAGCCTTACATTGCGAAGTGCATCAAATCATGTGAACACCTTGATTAAAAACATGCAAAGATTTGGAAAATATCTGTTGACAATGAGTCGGCGGTGCAAATGCTTTGCAGATCCTGCAATCAACCGAAATCTGCATGACAGATTTCGATTTCGTTGCACGATTTTGATTGGACTATGCATAGACTTGTTAGTCCAGTCGAAATGTAAGTTCATAATACCAGCTTAGTTTAGCAAAGGTGTAAACTGGACTTTTATAGTCAGTTAACTCACTTGCCTCGGGAAGATGTTATATAGCATGTAAACAGCCATCTCCAGTAGCCTATGCCTTGCGTGTTCACACCTCCAGTAGCATATGGGTTATCTACTCATCCTGGGGCACATGGAGATCTCGACTCAACCTGGGTTTTATGGGTCATCTACTCATCCTCGGGTACATGGGAGTCTCTACTCAACTTGTGGCACATGTGTCTCTCATCACCCTGGGGCATATGTGTCTCTCATCACCCTGGGGCACATGGATTATTTACTCAACCTGGGGCGTATGGGTGATATTTTCACCCTGGGGCACATGGGTTATCTACTCAACCTGGGGCACATGGGTTATCTACTCATCCTGGGGCACATGGGTTATTTACTCAACCTGGAGCACATGGGTTATATATTCAACCTGGGGCACATGGATTATCTGCTCAACCTGGGGCACATGGGTTCTTCACTCAACCTGGGGTACATGGAGTCTCTAATCACCTTGATGAACACATGGCTCTTAACTCACCCTGGAGCACAGCGGCCTCCATAGTTCCTATACACGTTGTCCCAGAGACAGTTGTGGTAGCTGAAGTCGGTGATGGGTTCGACGCGGAAGCTGCAGTTGTTGCAGGTGGTGAAGCGCATGAGGCAGTGGTACTTGGCCTGGGGGTTGGTACCAGTCAGATTGATGGACACCCTGGATGTGTCATTGATCTCCGGGAAGTAGTCGCCATTGAGTGAAAACCCTGGCTTCACGTCACACAGGTTGTAAGCTAGGAGGACAAACACAATCATTGGTTACTAATAAAAAGCATAATGTGTGCTGTTATATCAAGTTTGGTTTAACACAAAAGTATTTCTAAAATAACACAACATGTCATTTTAGAAAAAGAGCAAAGGCGTAAGGTTATTTGTGTGGGGGAAAAACAAGGATGATACTTGGGGCCAATCAGGGATTTGAACCCACTGACCTCAGTGTCTGGTAACAAAGGGACACAACTCTATGTAGTGAGCCTCAGTGCCCTAGACGACTTGGCTGTCCATGCCTGTGTTTCACTGCTAGCAGAGAGCTGATCCCTCTTTGCATGTTTGTTATGTTTTCTAACACTGCACTCAGCAATATTCCAGCTATATGACGGCAGTCTGTAAATAATTGAGTCTGAATGAGACCATCCAGTGAATGATATCATGAGCATCAATCCACACAATTGGAATTTGATAACATGTATCAACCAAGTCAGCAAGCCTGACCACGAGATCCTGTTAATCGCTTTACATGATAAGCATGGATTGCTGAAAACCAATTCTAACCTGGATCTTCAAGGGTTCCCTCTTAGCAATCTCCAAATAATTTCTGTGATTTCTTGCAATTTTTTCCCACTGATCAAATAGGAAGGGTAGCAAGTCATAAGACAAAACAAGGGTGCCAGCAGAGTAGGATTCAGCACCATGTATATAGCACTGGTATGTCATGGCTAGGGACACCATGAATGAGTGAATGAGTGAATGAGTGAGTGAGTTGGGTTTAACGCTGCTTTTAACAGTATTCCATTTATATCATGGCGTGTCAGCTTAATGTGGGAGGAAAGCCTGAAGTGATGCAGGTCTCAGATGTTTACCACTTCAGTGAATCCCACGAGCACGGGTATGGTGCTGACAAACCTAGAAACATAATCGGGGCGAACTGGGATTCGAACCCACAATCATATCTTTCTGGCGTGCCCAAGGGACGCAACTCTGCACAGCAAATCTCAGCGCCTTGGACGACTGGGCCACCCGTGCCCCCACACCATGAATGACCTGCACATACTGTATGTGCCCCATCAAACTAATGCTTAAACCGAAATGCTAACAAAAGGTTAGAAATAAGGTATGCTAGACTAGTATGACTCAGGAAGGGTTGGATACATTTCCAGATTGTCTACCACTATTACAATAAGGTAGATGGCAACTCTATAGCAGATAGTTTTTGCAGACTATTGAAAATAAAAATTAATTCCTTACCCTGCTAACCCTACCTCTAGTGACCTCTACTGACTCCCACACCGAAATACAATGACAAAGTGGTCAACACTAATAAACATACAAAATGACAAAATGATCTCATCAGCTCCACTGGTTAAAGAGTTCAGCTACAAATAACGATTGTTTTCACTATTCTTGACTGAATTATATGCTAGAGATGAGCTGATACAAAGGTGGACTTGTGCCCGAAGCACTACAGCATGTACAGGTAGACTCACATGGCTGAACTCCTGCTGCTGGACTGAGCTGATTCAGTACCCCTGAAACAAAACATACAGATACTACTGTCCAGCCAGCTGATCCTATGAAGCAATAATACTACAGTCTAATAAACAGATTGTATCTATTACAAGAACACTTTTTTCTGTTATTACATAATTAATTGGCTTACAGATCTATTGTCTTTTTCAATAAACACACATTATTTTTAAGGGGAAACAACAACAAAAAGTGAGAAAATAGTGGTTACTCCTATAATTTTACTCACATACACTGAAATATTTCATCAATGAAATTTGTGAACAGATTTTTGGTGAAAAAAAGGCTTCAATCTTTTAAATTTTTCTTCCTATTGAGAAATATTTGGCTGTCAGATGAATAAACAAAGTTAAAAGTGACATATGCTGATATTTTCAAAAGATACATGGATGATACAGAGGTATAACATTAGAGAAGGGTGATGCTAAACTATTTTACAGGTGTATATGTATATACAATCATGATAATATTGTTCATAAATCTAATGTAGATCCATGCATGACACTGACATGGAAGACCTGGCAACTCGTCAAACATATGAATGAGGTATATTTTAATAAATTTACAATTCTATCACTGAGCATTTTTTAAGTGAGCCTAACACAGGATGCCTCACCTAGCAGGAACAGCATAAGCAGTCTCATCACAATGGCAGACATTGTTGAGTGTGTGTCACTGGTTTGCAGTCTCAGCCCTCATAGTGCATCTGCAACATACAACATCAACATGGTCAACAAGGGGTGGCAACATTAACATCAACAACAACAACAACAACAAAAATTAGTGATCACTAGGGCTGCAACGAAACAACATTAGTGATCACTAAGGCTGCAATGCATATGCTGTGAGGCGAATACGATTCGTATCACGAATATATGGTGACGAATATGAATATTTAATCACGAATACAGTAACAGGTCATCAGTTGATGGTAAAGAATGATTATTATAATATTATACATTTATATACTGCACTTATCCAGGAACTAGTATCTGCTAAAATGCGACAATGACAAATGACCACATTGCTGTCAAATTAAATATATAAGAGTGCTGTCTTTAAAGAAATCTACACATACATATTATCAGTTCTTATGGATATTTTTATTTAAATAACTCATTTTATTTTTGTTGTAAATATTCAACTCTTGTGTCCACGAATAACAAATTCAATTCATGAAGGGATACGGTTCGATTCACAGAATACATGAGTGAATCATAACAGCCCTAGTGATCACAGGGATAGAAATGTATTTTTTTCGAGTGTGTCATATCTCGTAATGATGTTTAGATGTGGCATTAGTAGGGCTGGGACAGGTAAGTCGGCACTTGGGTCGGTGGGTACTGAGTAGGAGCCTGGTACCCACAGGACTACTTAGACCTATGGTTAGTCACGTGATATATTGTCTAATGACAAAATGTATCTAGAACTCCATGGCTACACTACAAGTCACTGATGTTCACATTTCTGTCTGACTATGCATGCATATGTTTGAATAATGATAAAATGTCTGGGTATTAATGACCTGATCATTTTTATACATGTAGCTAAATATATTTTGCCACGGCTATGGTCAATCTCTTCCCAATCGGGCAGTTTGTACCCCCTTGAGACGTACAGCGGGTACTCGGGTCGGGTACTCGGGTTGGGTACTCGGGTTAGGTACCACTATAATAAAATCGAACTTGTCCCAGCCCAAGTCCATTGGAATTTAAGTGTGTCTCTGCGTCAAAAAATAAAACAATTTTTTTGTTTTTTAGGACATCCACAATGTCCAGTTAACTTTTGTTTTTTCATAAAAATGGTTGAAAAAAATAATTTCCACTGAACAGATTATCCCAGACAAATCCCAGAACCCCCTTCCAAAATATCCACTGTATTACACCACCACTTCAGACATAACAAACTTAGTTTGTTATAACCCTATATATCTATATACATGATACACATGATATATGTACAGTTGTCTGTAAACTGTGATATAAATAGAGGTTATCACGCGAGTGTGTTTGGGGATGGTAAATATCCTGCATTAGGAATAAACATTGTATTTAGCGAGCCTTGGCGAGCTAAATACATAGTGTTTATTCCTAATACAGGATGTTTACCATCCCCAAACACACAAGCGTGATAACCTCTTTATCATATAATGCCATTCTTTAATTCTGTGCTTCAAAATCGCTTTCCCTCACTCACAAACATTACCGAAACATTGCGAGTTTTCCTGGAATGCGCGCATTAATATTTATTACGTCACAGGGTAAGTGATGTGTCAGTCGGACAGTGACAGTAGCCAGTATAGTTCCAACTGAAATATGTTTCTTATACAGTGGCCAAGCAACATATACGCAAAACAACAATTGTTTTTAATTGTCTTTCGCGGCAATCCATCGGTCTGTCCGCTAGAGTAACTGCCCTTTGTCAAAGGGAAACTACTCTAACCCTGGTCTATGAGACGTCACGGCCACGGTCAGACCTTGTTGACAGTCGGTCTGTCCTGTCATAACGATAAGAAGTGTTGTCAGATGTACACACAGCGACAAAACGAAACAAGGTAACAATTCAAACATATTTCCGCCAAATCCAACTATTTTAATTTGTGGAGAAGGTTTCAAGCCGCAGAGGTCTACAAGCACAGATATGGCTACTGATCCCGCTTGGCTAGGTCTCGTGCCCTCGCCAAATTGTTTCGAAATGTCTATCTCCAAAGTTGCCAAAACTTATAAAATGCCTTAGCTACGTCACAGTTAGACACAGATTTTCAGTATATTAGACTGTTCTTTGATAATGATAGCAATTATCCCTGTAGTTTATCCAGATTCCCGATGGTTAATTCTGACTCGATTGCCGAATGACTAGTGCGACGACGTGTTTGTTTATAAACAGTGAAAGTAGTCCCTACGTGACCTTTGATATTTGCATCTCTATCCGCATATGACCCCAACGGATATCGTTTTTATCCGTTGGCTTTATCCTGCCGAGAAACCTACCCATTATATGATAAAGGGTTTTATATAACATGAAAATGTGTGTCCAGTAAGCACAAATGTCTAGAATGGACACAGAAACAAATATATTGCATCCCAAGGGATGCACAATAATAGTCAATGTACCATATTCTTGACAACAAATTTGAAGGTCCTGTAATTAAAATAATTCTCAAATCTGATAGTTCAGTACTCTACACCATTTCATTACTTTACAGGACCCTCATATTTCCTGTAAGGATCCTTGAAATAATTATTGGGGGTCTCCTTGACCCCTAGTTTTGTAGGTCAAACCCCTGTATACTGTGACGATTCCGGGTTAGAATAGGTCTTCAACAAGCCATGTTTTTCATAAGAGGTGACTAACGGGATAGGTTGGTCAGGCTAGCTGACTTGTTTGATGCATATCATCATATCCCAATTGTGCAGATCAATGCTCATTATGTCAATCACTGGATTGTCTAGTCCAGATTTTATTATTTACAGACGGCCATCATATAGCTGGAACACTGCTGAGTGTGAAGTTAAACAACAAATAAACATACAAAACAAACAACTTCACTGCTGCTCCATCGTAAGGCAGTGAGCATGTGCAGGGCACGGATCATGTTAATCTCCCCCTATCTTCCTGCAATACATGCATGTAAGGAAATGAGCCATTGACTATCAAGACGATAGGATGACCTGACACTGACACTGCGAGGCCATGCAGTGGTGGTGTCAGCAGCTGGCTCACCTCACTACCATAAAACCTAATAAAACACTCATGATAGGAAACAATAAACTTCCAACAAGGGAATTCTCAGTAACGTTCAATAAAACACAAACTGACATTTTTATGGCACATGTTGCTGCGTTGTGTGTAGGTTGAATAAGCTACACCAGCCCTAGCAAGCAAGTGATGAATCATATATGAACAACTTCACACACACACACATATATATATAAATATACCTGCATCAACACATAACTGATTAACATCTGTTTATATATATAGTACCTGAAAAGCTAGAGGTTTGCGGCTGTGGTATTTGAACTAGGAATAAGGAACCCCTTCTTTTACCATTACACAACGATTTATCAAGGACTCCAAATTAAACTACCATTGGCAAGTCTGGCTGTGGGGAATAATGAGAAATAACCCCCCATGGCATCAAATTAAAGAAATATTTCTAAAACACCGGCGATTATTGATAACATCAGTGTTCCCGCTGGCTTTTGAAACCGCTGGCAACTCTAAAAATTACCATTCCCCTCAAATTTTTGCAAGTCCCAACTTTCAACAAATAAAAAAACGTATGAAAGTTATTTGGTTTTAATTCTTTCAACATCATGTTCAGCGCAAAGATGTCACCTCTGAAGCAAGTTAGAAGTTAGATCTATACGTCATTCACACAAACTTCAGTCAAATTTTTTTTCTGTTTATTTTAATATTTCAAGACGAAGTCGCTACAAATGGATATTTAACCTAGAAATAGACAAGGGGAAACCCTGATGGTAACAGACAAGCTGACTTTGTTCGAAAAATGTACTTATATGAATATCACCGATGTTTTGTTCAACAACAACGATTTATAAGGTACTTTATTTGCCAGTCTTAGGCAGACTGTGGACTGGCAGTCACATGAATTACCTGTCCAAGCCTAATTTAACGGGTAAAAAACTGGTCATTACCATTAAACGGGAACGCTGTAACATCAACATTTTTATGAGGTATTATATAACACTCCTGACCTTCTGAGAGAAAAATTTACTCGTAATGCAAAGCTGCTACAGTTACGGATCACAATATCAACAGGCATGTGTCACATGTTATTGATCGTCTTGCTGGTGCACAAAGAAAATCTACAGACATAACATACATAGTATACAATTAAGAATTTACATCAATATTTTACCGCTTATGGAGGCATAAACAGAAAAAGGCAGTGCGCAAACTGTGTAAATCTGCATGTGAGTGTGCACAGCTGTTTCTACGTTTACAGCTCCATAAGCAAAAGAGCATATTGAAGTCAATTCTTATAAATATATATGTCAACAATAAGAACTTTACAGACTGCTTATTTTTTCACACACACACAAGAAACAGCAGAAAACGATACGAAATCAGCGACATCGTTCAGCACAACAACGCAACACATGCCCCGCCCATTCTATTTTCAGTCTATCAAGAAACAGTAGTATGTTTGTGAGCAAGGCCTATTTTGTTTTAGGTTTATGGAAACATAATTGCATAAAATTGCTTGGTTAGCCAATCAAATGTCACGGAATAACTAACAATGTATTTACTCAGATTTATCAGTGAATTTGTTAATAAATAAGGTCACTTTTCTCTCGCTTCAAAAACTTGCAAATTAAGAAATAAATGAAAGTTGACCCCAAAAGGATTCCTTCACATCTACATTGACAAAATATTTCATTTCATACCTGCTCAGTCATCAAGGAAAAGAAGCCAAGCCCTTGCCCTACTTTCTGCTGGTGACTAGGATGGCAACACCCACCCCTCTGGAATCTGGCACTGGTGTGTGTTGGAGGTACGAGAGGGTTATTCTTTTTACATGTGATATATGATATATCCATCCCCACTCATATGTCTGTATTCCCCAAGCAACGACACACTCATGTTCCACTGGGTCACAAACACTGGATAAAAATAGTCACGTAACAAAAGAACTGACCGACCGCAACTGTCATTGCTGCACCAATAACACTGAGGTAC